ATAGTTATGGCCATTGATTTTATCATACATCATCAAGGTGCAGTTTATACAAAAACGCATAATTCAAACCTAAACTCCAGTGTTCGAAAATAAAGAGTGTAAATGTGTTTGCTTCTATTAGGGAGTTTTGCTGATAAAATTCAATTTTGTGCTGATTTACATTTAATTTCATGTGTTGTGACTGTGAAAAGTGTGGAGGCTAAACATTAGGCTGTTTGGTCACTGGTATTGTAACATATGGTTTTAATCCACAGTGACAAACAGTATCATAAATATGTGCTTTATTCCAAGATCATAGAGAAGAATATGAGCTTTTTAAGTCTTATTTTAAGAAATATTTTCTTTTCTTTTATAGTCCTGTAGTTTAACCTCCTTAACATTACGGTTTCATAGTTATACTTCATAGTTGGCCAAGTCAATTTTCACACAGTGTCATTTTTCAAAGTGTCAGACATACAGTGCCCAGCCAAAAAAAAAAAAAAAAGATTTGATTTTAATAGGCATATGCTTAAGAGTCTATGATTGGATCATTATTGCAATGATGATTGTTTCTAGCATGTTATATGTTTGGGAACAGTTCTTTTAACCCTAATTGATGGAGTGTGTAGCTTTTCATTTCTTAAACAACCATATAGGAAGACACATCATGACCGTATTCCAGGATGACAATGTCAAGATTCATCAGGCTTAAATTGTGAAAGAATGGTTGGGAGGGGTAATAAAAAATGATTTTAACACATAAATTGGCACCTCTGAGCATTTTCACTGGTCCACAATCGAAACCGTGTGGAAAAACAGCCATATATATATATATATATATATATTTATATTATCTCATAATTTGCATTAGGAATATTAGGCTGCTGTAACTTTAAGATCTGACACACGGATCCATTATACTGCTAGTGCTACACATGCGTTTTCTCTGTCAATCTCAACTGTTTACGGTCACTTAAAACATAACTGAATGTGTTTACGTGAATATTCACCAAGATCAGCATTTTGACATTTTGTGTGTATTTGACTGTTTAAGGTCAATAAGCAACGAAAAATAACTCCATTTAGTACTGAGAGACAAAAAACGTTCTACTTTGGGTGAGCACAAAATCTGCAGGAATGAATAAAATTATGCGCAATATGCGCAATCCCACAACAAAATTTAAGCCCTGTAACACCAACAACATTCATCCAGAGCATATGAAATGAGTGAGTGAAGGGAGGTTGTCAACTCGCTGACGGAGAGATAAGAGAGTAAGAAAGCACAGCTGCTATCTATTCTGTGGAAAATAAGTATTGGAAGCGTTTCAGTTATTTCAATATCAATATGTATCGAAAAATCTTCCTACATGCTAGAAACATATAGGCTAATAATCACTGCAATCATGATCCAATCATAGACACTTAAGCATTTGCCTATTAAAATCCAAACAGCGACTTTTTTTTATTGTGATTTTTTTTTATTGATTTTATTATACATAACCTAGTTGCAAGTTTAATAAAAAAATGCATAAATCACTGAAACTCCAGAGTTCAACAACCTGGCAAAGTATGTAAGTTGTAATTTACTGATGTTTTTTTTTGTTGGTTTTTTTTTTTTTTTTTTTTTTTCATTTCATGTGTTGTGAAAAGTGTTGCTTGGTCACTTGTTATTTTACCAGATGCATTATATCCAAAGTGACAAACAGTGTTGCAATTGTATTTGTAAGTGCTTTGTTTCAATGGCACAATGTGTACGGCAGGAGGGGTATCCCAACAACTGTTCAGATTTTCCATATCAAAATTCAAACTAGCAACATGTGTTCACTTCACATTCACAACACCTTGGCTACCCTTGGTCTACCCTGCCACTAGAATGCATGTCTGGCCTGTCTAATGGAAACATAATAAGCCTACATCTAAAACAATCTAATATTAATAACACTATTTACAGGATTAGTTCACCCAAAAAATGTAATTCAGTCAATTACTTAAAAGAACTCATCAATTACCCTCATGCCATTTAATGCCATTTCAAACCTGTATGACTTTCTTTCCTCTGAAGAACGCAAAAGACGACATTTTAAAAAATGTTGGTAAACAAACAATTTTGGTTAGGCCTATAACATTAACATCCATTGTAAGGACCACTGACACATTTCTCAAAATATCTTCTTTTACATTCCCTCTACGACCTATACAGTTCTATAATGCATTCAGATCCAATGGATATGAGTTATTTAAGCCTAAATGGTTTTATTACAGTCTTAGTAAAGATGGCTAATAAGGTGCCATCAGATAGCCTAACATAGGCAATAACATAACAATAGGCCAATATACAGAATGATTACAATATTAATGTACTGTCAATTTTGATTATTTATATGGTATAACAAACATTACCACTGCACAGTCCTAACAATTCCAGCGTGCTTCTTTGTGGAACAAACAAAACTAACAAATGTGGCTAAAATGAACTAGCCTACAAATGTATTAACTGTCTTTTGCCAGGCTGAACAAGTCTGTTACGTTTGCATCAACCATATTACAAGCTTCTACGGTCATAACAACTGGATGCTGCTTGTGAAGGGGTGGTTCTTAATACACAGTCACACACACACACACACACACACACACACACACACACACACACACACACACACACACACACACCTAACCCTGATAATAGATAACTGCATTTCTGTTGCCAGTGATCACCCACGGACCACGGTTCAGATTATTTTAGATGAGCCATTAGTAGTGTGAACTTCAGTAGCCCCCTTTGAACTATTTAAACTCAATGAAAGCGCGTTTGCTACCATAACATCTCAAACGTGATGTGTTTTATACCTTCTGCCTGGTTCTTCTGCATCACCTGTGATGGAAAGACAGTGATGCGACGCTGAGAGCATTAAAACCCTGTTGCATTCCAGTGCCAGTGGGTTAGGGAGCATAAAATACTGATATGTGTCAATAATGTATATTTACAGTCTTGTCGATCACGTAAAGGATGTAAGGTTAGCGTACAATTTGCGCAGTAGCAGAAAGGGGTATTATTAGCATACATAAATACAATCATCATACATACAAACACACACCTCTGCGGCACGTTAAGTGAATGGATATCCAGGAAACAGTTAAGTAAATGAGTCCCGTTAGTTGAGTAGTAAAATTACGCACTTACCTTTGTCAGCTGCGCTATTTTCTTGCACATTTTTGTGTGCATTTGATAATCATACATTTCCTTCTCTACAATCACATTGGGGATGTCCGCAATAGCGGTCCCGTTACATGCACAGCTGCCGCCGGGGGACTGGTTCATCTTCCCAGAGCTGGAAGCCATAATAACCAGTTCGATCACGCTGATCAATCACAAACTGGGCTGCGCAACACACTGGTCGTCTGTACGTGATCCTGAAGGTAGAGTCCTTACGACAGCCGAAAGCATTCTGCATGCTGCAACAGCGACCGGCGAACACCCTCCCGCTCCGCCGTGAAGCTGCCCCCGGTGAGAGCACTGCTCACAGGATAATGCCATCGGTACACGACTCACTGACACTGACGGCATGCGCCCCCAGCCCGCCCGGACACCTGTCTCTCACCCCGGGCGTGACTACAGTCTTACATTACAAGCCACGGGTACTGCAGTGTAATCTTAGCCCCTCCCATGAACACCAACACGCCCAACAGCACAACAAATACCAAGCGTCAATTTCTTTGATAACCCGGTGGGTTACTCCCTTTTGATTTGTTAGTGTGTAAAGATTTACGTTTTGTATGAGCAATTCTCAACAGCAAACAAAACTGCAGGCAAGTCTACTTACTAAATAAAGAAATATAATTGATTTTAGTCCCCAAAATGTAGAGAGGGTTAGAGGGCCAGGTAAATTCTAAAGGTAAAATGTGATTATTTCAAATAAATGTGAAAGGTGAAATCCCCTGAACCATATTTCGAAGTCTGAACCATGTTTCTTTATAACCGTAATATAGGCTATATAGTGATATATAGGCTAGTCTATTGGTTATTTTCAGAAGATGCATGACTGGCATTCAGGGCTGTAGGCAGGGTTTTATAAGTACCGAGGTCCAAAATTTGAGCTAGGGGGGTTTGGGGGCACGCACGCACCCCAGAGAAATTATCTGCAGATTATCTGTGAATACATGCTCTCTCTCTATCACTCTTTCTTTTTCTCTCAGTCTCCTTGTCTATTTCCCTCCTAAAGCTAGAGAACATTTGCGTAGGCTATATCAGTGAAGAAATGTTTAAAAAAAAAAAAATTTCTTAATTTACTGAAGGCTACGAACACTAGGTAAATTATTCACCGTAAATAAGTTTATTAAATTAATTCACTTCACAATATGTACACATCCATTATTAATCTTATGCCTAATATGATGAAAACATTATTACATTAACTTGAATCACGTAAATTATATAGGCCTATTTTCAATTCACAATTCAAATGACAAATTGTGACAAATTGTCATTAGACAAAAGTGTATTAGTTTGCCTGATTATTTTTTATCTGTCGTTGAACATTTCTATCCTAAAACAGCTGTCAAATATGAAATATTTAGTTTAGCTTTTTTTTTTTTATTTGACTTTACTTTTTTATTTCACTGGAAACGTGTAATCACGTCTCGGACTTATCATTCGTTCGATCCGCAAGAAATTGCACCAGAAATAATATAATAATACAAATAAAAAAATCAATATCTGTTACCTTTCGCAGAGTTTAAATGTGGACCAATCAGAGCTGTTCGTGATTAAGTATAAATAAGGCATTTTATTGAATTATTGTAGGCCTAAAGATATTTAAACTTATATGTCAGACTCAAAAACTTAAAATGAATAAAGTTAAACAAAACACTTCTTGAGATAAGGAGGTCCATATTCAAAGCTGCAGAGTTACTAAGCCTCTCAGCGCCCCCTGAAGGAAACCCCATAGTATTGTCCGTTACAAACATGATTGACAGCCAGGGACGGAAAGAGGCGGTTCTACGTAACTCTCGCGAGACGAGAGCACATTTTGAAAAGTGGCGCTTTCACCGTTGGACAAGATAGAAGTCTCTTAAAGATTTCTTTCAGGTAACGTTACGTCGCGGATGAAATAACATTTTGAGCAAAAATGAACATTTAAGCATATACACTAGCAAGGACGAATGCTTTGATAAATTTGTATTTGTTAAAATTATAAGTATGAGTTAACTTAGTTCGACATGTTTTTGTGTTGTTGCTAGCAGTAGCATCTAAGTTAACTGTCGGGGCTAACGTTAGCAGTTTATCGAGGCGGTGTCGCTCATTTTATAAAACAAATAACTTAACGTTACCTGTTAATAACTTACCAAATTATTAAGGTAACTTGAATTGTAATCCAAGCATTTCATCAGTGCTCTTTTTCATGTGTTTGATTTGATGTGGGATAACATACATCGTACGGTGTCGTTTATGCTAGCTTATTTAATGAATAACTTTTTATTTAGATCATTAGAAGTGTCCAATGGGTGGAGGAAAGATCAGGTAACGTTAACGATTCTGTCGTGCTGAGTTAAAGTTACCCGACATTTGTTGTGACTAATTATCTAATCTATAACCTGTGAAGTGTGTTATTAACATTTAACGCTACAACAAATAAAAAACAAAATAACTTAAGTTAACGTTACATGTTTAAGCGCATGTCCTCAATGTGCGGTGTTCCATGGGTGTTTTGGATTTGTAAACGTATATCAAATATCATTCATTCACATGCAGGCTGGCATGTAATTTGTTTTTGTGTTTTAGCAACATCACCATGCCTGGAGACGCTGATCTGGAGATTGAAGAGGCTTTCCGTCGCGCACAGAAAGCTCATAATAACAAGGCGAAACTTGTTGCCAGTTTGAAGACCAGATATAATAAGGTGCAGCATAATACGTGAATTTTATAATGTATACTATCGTTCAAAAGTTTGGGGTCAGTATTTGACAAATTAATACTTTTATTCAGGAAGAATGCATTGAATTGATTTAAAAAAAAGTTCTATTTCAAAATAATGCTATTGTTTTTTTAACATTACATTCATCAAAGAAACCTGAAAAAAGGTATAATGGTTTCCTCAAAAATATTGAGCAGCATAACTGTTTTCATCATTGGTAATGATGTTTGACACCAAATCAGAATATAAGAATGTTTTCTGAAGGATCATGTGGGACTGAAAACTGGAGTAATGGCTGCTAAATAATCCACTTTCCCATAACAGGAATAAATACAATTTTAAAATGTACTAAAACAGAAAATATTATTATTTTAAATTATAATAATGGTTCACAATATTACAGTTTTACTAAATTTTTGGTCAAATAAATGCAGCCTTGGTGGTTATAAGTGACCGTTCAATAAAGGGATAGTTCACCCAAAACTGAAAATTCTGTCATATTTTACTCACCCTCATGTCGCTACAAACCTGTTAGACTTTCTTTCATCTTCACAACACAAATTAAGATCTTTTTGATGAAATCTGAGAGCTTTCTGTCCGTCCATAGACGGCTACTCAACTGAAACTTTGACACTTCAAAAAATTCATAAAGAGATTGAAAACTAATCCATATGGATTGAGCGGTTTAGTCCAAATTTTCTGATGAGACTTGTCTTGATCGCCTTATAAGATGAACAGATTGAATTTAGGCTTTTATTCAAATATAAACATTGATCAGCAAACAATAAACAGAAGCTTAAAGGGATACTCCACCCAAAAATGAAAATTCTGTCATCATTTACTCACCCTCAAGTTGTTCCAAACCTGTATGAGTTTCTTTCTTTTGCTGAACACAAAGGAAGATATTTTGAAGAACGATTGGAACCAAACAGTTGTTTGGCACCATTGACTTCCATAGTAGAAAAAAAATACTATGGAAGTCAATGGTGCCAAAGTTCCAATCGTTCTTCAAAATATCTTCCTTTGTGTTCAGCAGAAGAAAGAAACTCATACAGGTTTGCAACAACTTGAGGGTGTGTAAATGATGACAGAATTTTCCATTTTGGGTGGAGTATCCCTTTAACCTTCTTGACCCGCTTGAACAAACCTTATGCGGAAGCTCAAATGTCCTGCGTAACACACGAGAATAAACCTCTTTGGTTCTTGCACGTAAAGCAAACATGCTTGAGCTTCTGTTTACCACAACTTATGTGTGAGATGATGGATGTTTATTTGTGAATAAAAGCCTAAATTCAATCTGTTCATATAAAGCTATTGTGTCTTAGAAAATTTGAACTAAACTGCTCAATTCATATGGATTAGTTTTATGATCTCTTTTTGAACTTTTTGAAGCTTCAAAGTTTGTCGTGTAGCTGTCAATGGAGGGACAGAAATGTCTGATTTTATTAAAAGTATCTTCATTTGTGTTCTGAAGATGAACAAAAGTCTTACACAGTTGGAACGACATGAGGGTGAGTAATTAAAGACAGAAATGTTCATTGAGTGAACTAATCCTATAACATAAAATCTTACAAACCCCAAACTTTTGAAAGGTAGTGTAGGTGCATGGGAAATTTTTCTAACCTGTTGTCTGACACATCAAACAATCTTCTAAATTAGGTCATTTTTAATTCTGTGTAGTTGGAAGATAAGTCCGAATTCCATGATGAGTTCATCCGATGCCTGAAGTATGCCATGATCATTTACACCCGAGAGCCTGCAGTGGAGAATATCATTGATTTTGTCACTAAGTTTGCTGCGAGTTTCGAAACGCCTGTTAATGAGGAGGAGGAGGAGGAGGAAGATGACACTGAGTTTTTGAACTTTCTGTTCAACTTCCTGTTGGAGGTAGTGTCACTCATGTAGACATTTGGGTTGGGGGAAAAAGAGCAGGCAAAAAAAAAAAATCATACCTCAGTGTACCTTTGTTTTCATTCAATGTCTTATCCACCTCTTTACCGTCTTTCTCTCTCCCTCAGTCTCACGGTGCAAACAGCCATGCTGTGCGGTTTCGTGTTTGTCAGCTGGCGAATAAGTTGCTGGGCAGTCTTAGTGAGAATGCTCAGATCGATGATGATCTATGTGATAGGATCCATGAAGCCATGCTGGTCAGAGTAACAGACAAATACCCTAATGTCAGGATTCAGGCAGCACTGGCCTTGGCCAGACTTCAGGACCCCAATGACTCAGACTGCCCCACTATTAAAGGTACTCTGAATGCTCATACTTTCACTCACAGACATTCAGCTACAATCCCTACTTAATGTTAACGTTCAAAATTGATCCATGAATCTCCAAGGAATGTAAATTTAAATAAGGTAAATGTGATTAATTCTGTGTGTTTGTAGCTTATATTCTGCTTTTGGAAAATGACTCGAACCCAGAGGTTCGACGTGCTGTGCTGTCTTGCATCGCTCCCTCGGCTGCTACACTCTCTAAAATCTACAAGCGCACCCGAGACGTCAAAGAGAAAGTCAGGAAACTTGCTTATCAGGTAAAAATGTCTAAGAAAATACCAAATTGACTAACCTGCAATGAAAGTTAACAATTAGTAAATAGTGTTTTTTTATGTGAAAGTCTTTACTGTCAGTTTTGATCAATTTAATAAATAATTGGTGAAAAATAAAGATATTAACTTAAAGTTTTTAACGGTAGTGTATGCAATAAATATGATGCGTTTATGTATGTGCCTCAGGTACTGGCAGAGAAAGTGCATATTCGAGCTCTGAGCATCGCTCAGAGAGTGAGTCTATTGCATGAAGGCCTCAGTGACACTGCAGGTAAGGACATTGTGGTGTTTGTTGATCAAATTGTCTCCAGTTGTAAACAACTATGCATGTATTAGAGTTTATGTGCATTGTCTCCTAACAACATAGTCCTCTAAGTCTAGGCACAAACAAGTTGTTTTTTAGGTGACAACTGGGCCATTAAAGACTTGCACACATGTTTCTACTATTAAGGAAAACACCTCATTATGTCTGCCCTTTCAAATCATTTTACTATCAAACATATCTTACTGCAGTGCCTATGATAATATCAGACAACAAACATGTTTATTAGAAATATTTGGCAAAGTATCGCCTGAATGCATATTATAATTTTTGTCTTGTATTAAGCTTATACTTGATTATCTTAGAATTTTGTAAATTGTATATCTTATATTATATTTACTGCTGACAGGGCAGTATAAGTCAATAAACAAATCATGTCCATCTCCCTTAGACTCAGTGAAGGAGGTCATCAAGACCCATTTGCTGCCTGCTTGGCTTCGCTTGCTGCAGGGAGATGTTTTGCAGTTGCTGCACAAACTGGATGTAGAGAACTGTGCAGAAACTGCAGTGACTACCTTACATGCCATCTTTTCCATGGCAACAAACCCTGATGAACTCCTGCAGAATGGTATCAGGCTGGATGAGAGGTCAGTTACTTGAATCTAAACACCAGAACAAGCATACTTCAGTCACTGTAGTTTTGCACCATAATTCAATTCACCAAAATTTAAAAACGTACACATGCCCTGCCCTTTGTATGTCCATTTGACATCTTGGAAAAGGTTTATTGCAAATTTTTAATTATTATTATTTTCATTGTTCTTTGCTTTCAGCTATCAGTAGAAGCATAGTACTTTCAGCTGCATTCAAGCAACAGGGTTTCTGCGGGGCATTACAAAGCATTAAAAGTCATTAAATGGATTTTGTGAAAATTAAGGCCTTAAATGGCATTAAAAAGCATTACATTTTAATCCTACAGGCATTAAAAATGTAGATATAGTTTTGAAGAATTTTATATAATCAATTTATTTGAATATAGCCTTCATAATTAATCATTTTTATTTGCTGTCGCAAAATATGTACGGTAGTGTGATAAACGCAGAACCAGTTTGGTAATTGCTTCCAGCCGGACTAAAATTGCCGTGATGCGGAGGTGATGCGGGCATTTTCTACAGAATAACAGGAATAAAACTAGACCAGAAAAATGGGAAAGTGCAAATTCCAGCAGAAGTGGCCGGAAGACAGTTTAACGCGTTAAAATATTTAACGCAGCATCCGTTAATTTTTGTCATCCTTTGGCTAGTTTTACATTATATGATCCCGCTCTTATTCATGCAAATGCTTTTAAACCATTCAAGCGCGACGAGAAAAGAGACCGCGCTGCCTGTGAATGTCCTTTCTAAGTAACACACGACGCATAGAAAGACGCGCGCCAGAATACAGTTCTCTTTCACGCTTAAACAAACAGTAACGCACACAATTATGCCAAATGTCCATCATTTTTATCCAGACATCAATAGCTGTATTAGTATCAGTGACTACGTTTACATGCAGACAATTTTCGGGTTATGGTCGGGTTAAGGTCACTATTCGGGTTTCTGAAACATTAGGAATAACCCGTTTACATGCGTGAGCAGAGAGAGTTTCTCCTGTATACATGGAATTGCAATATCCCGATGTAAACGCGACGCGCGGTTAGCGTCTGGACGTACGGACAACCTTAAGACGCATTATGCGTCATTTCCGATTCTTCTTCCTGTATCCAAAGACATCAACAATGGCAGCAGCACGCGGATAATGAATAGTTCGGGGCAGATAGCGATCGCCTTTGTTTGCGCTTTGGTGCTGGTACTGACCTCGCTCCAAAAGTATGCTGTGCTGCGTCTCGCCATGTTTACTTCCGGTATACTGCACGCAGGTTTTTGTATGCGCCGAGAAGTTCCTCTACTCAAAAGACCAAGATTCCTTGCGAATAGAACATGCGCAGAACACAAATCACTATGGGGATATGCCGATGCGCGTTTACATGACCAAAAATTCGGGTTAGAAAAGGGGTACCCCAGGTATCATATCCCGGTTTTTAAAATCCGGGATATGAGCATATTCGGGTTTTTGCCGGTGTTTACATGGCCGTGCGCGACCGGGTTATTGCTAATATCCTGGTTTTGAACGGGTTATTGGCTGCATGTAAACGTAGTCAGTGATACTGACCTTCATTCATAAAAAGATGCCATTAAACAAGTATTTGAAATGTATTGTCTTTATGTTGGTTCTAATTTGGAGAATAACTGTGAAATGAATACATTATAAAATATATAAACTAAATATAAACCTACAAAAATGTTTTTTTAATTGCGGTTAATCACAGAAAAACATTTGATTACCCAAGTTAATTTTTTGTGGTTAGTCATGGATCATGTATGACATAAAAAATAAAAGAAAATGGCATTAAAAAGCATTACATTTAATTTGAAGATGCCTGCAGAAACCCTGAAGCAACTGTTACCATAAATATTCTGCTAGTTTTTCCCATATTTGGCATAAGAAATTTGAAAAGTTTGAAAATCCATTGTGGGTCTGCCAGTCACTAATGGCAGAAGTAGTGGTAAACTGTACTGGATATTAAAAACCCATATCAGATGAGCTTTTAGATATTTATTTTACTCAATATATATATATACTCATTTAAAAAAAAAGTATAACCAAACAAAATATCCAACTAAATATTTACTATTTACTGACTAAAATGTCTGTACTCTGTAAACTTTGATTATTACACTTAATAATGTAATGTGCAGTTTAGTGTTGCACGGTGCACCGATACTTCAAAAGTATCGCGATACTCGGAAATTAAAAACTTCACGATACCTAAATTTATTAGTATCGATACTTATAAGAATGACCGCGTTCCAGATTTGTAAGAGAGTATTGCATGTTGGTGTGTGCAACGCACGCTTCCAGTGCCTCCCTATGGACGTCTGTGTTTTTCTCCTCATGCGCGTGTGACAGGGCGCGTGAACTGAACGAGCAGAGAGAGAGAGAGAGAGAGAGAGAGTGAGCGAGCCCCGGTCGCGCGCGCGCACTCTCTCTCTCTCTCTGCGGAGCCAGGCAAAAGTATAAACAAGGCTTCACCGTCTCAAAACTAAGCGCTGTCTTGCTCTCTCTCTCTCCCTCGCACATATTAATCAAAATAATTAGACACGATGGTAAGGTCGGGAGACTAAAGTTTCATGTGGAGCATTCGGAGTTTTTTTTTTTTTTTTCTGAATTACCGCTGGGTGTAAATTGTGGTAAAATACGTTGCCTTATCTTCTCTGAATCGTTCCGCACATTCAGCTGACATAAACCACACTTTAAATAAACGAAAAAAACTATCCAGTCATGAAATGTTTTCTGTGATGACAGTGGGATGTAACCGCCTGGATAATCACACAATTAACGCGCACACGTCCGATAATGACACGTCCAATTCGCGAACTAATGACTCATTTGAACCGATTCGTTTTAATGAATGGTTAAAACAACTGATCTGTCTGAATCGGTGTATAACTAATCGTTAACACTTTGTAATAAGGTTTCATTTATTACATAAATTACATAAAACAAATAAAACACTTGTTTTTTTCCCCCGAAAAAGCATATGACTACTTTTTTCCACACAATGCTATCATGAATCGATAAGAGAATCGTTAAAGAATCGGATCGATAAGCAGAATCGTCAGTGGCATTGATATTGATAAAATCTTATGTTTCTTATCATAACTGAGATAATGCTGCTAAATTTATTTATTTTTTTACCTTGAATGTCATTGCTCTAATTTATTTTTTATATTTTTCATATTTCATATTTTGTTCAAATGGTTATTATAGCCTATCTGCTGTTCAAATGTTCATTTATTAGTGTGTTATGATTGGAATGTTGTCCCAGTTTTAAAATAAAGCACAGCAATGATATTTGAGAGTGTTTCTCCCTTTTCAGGAAAAGTATCGAAAAAGTATCGAAATCGCAATTCTTGACTTGGTATCGGTATCGAAACAATAATTTTGGTATCGTGACAACACTAGTGCAGTTATTACATTATGCTTTAAGTTACGAGTTGCTACACACTGCCTGCTAGTATTTGTTTGGGCAATCTTCAACATTAGTCTCATTTCTTAAATGTGTATATCTCTTTGTACAGGAAACTAATTACTGTGGACTCCCTAACATGTGAAAATGTGTTGTACTGGAGAGCGTTGTGTGAGTTTGTCAAGAGTAAAGGAAATGAGGGTGAGGAATTACTGGAGAAGTTACTCCCTGAGGCGGCCATCTTTGCAGAGTATCTATACAGGTGAATATGCTCTACACTTTTGTTTCTTGTAACCCTTTTAATTTAATTTTCTTTTTGAATTCAGTTAAACACTTAACATTTGCAAATGATAACCCAGCTAAATAAGGAAGCTTTTTTGTTTCAGTTATCTAAAGAGCATTACTCCGCTGTCTGAGGAGCAAAGAGCTGATATGACACAGCTTGAGATGGTGATGACCCAAGAGTTTGTTGGACAGCAGCTGATTCTGCTAGTCGGGTGCCTTGACACTTCTGAAGAAGGTGGCAGGTCTGAGTTCTCAGTACTCTGATCTCTTACTGATCAATGTAGAATAAACATTTTAGACTATTATTATCTTTAGTTTTTGATGGTCCGTTTCCTCCCTTTATGTCTGTGTAACTTAAACACCCTTAAAAGTCTGTTGTATTTTTTAACTGCAAATTTAGTTATTAAAGTTTTAATCTTCACATGAACTGTTCTAGGAAGCGCATGGTAGCAGTGCTCAAGGAGATCCTTGTGATGCCCAACACACCCACGTCTCTGATAGGTTTGCTGGTGGAGAAACTGATTGGCATTCTACGAGATGACGCACAGAAAATTCAAATGGTCAGTCCTTGTGAGAACATCATACTCTTTAAAAAAAAAAAAAAAAAATCTTCTGTTTGTGGCAGCCAGAGATTGTATCAGTGTTAGATTTGTAATGTTATGAGAATTTCATGGTATGATAACTGTCTCAGAAAATTGTTAAACAATCAATTCTTATTATCATCAGTTAAAAGGACAGTTAAATGAATGAAAAGAGGGTTTTTGGTTAAAAAAATGCTTTACTATAACAAACTTGAAACCATTTGTTTGTTTTGTTAATTATTTTTGAATCATCCAAAACATATAATCAATTCAATTTAATAATCGATTAATGATTGGAACAACTTTTTAAGAATGAAATGTATTTTATTTAGAACATTTTATTCAAAAATATTACAAAAACCGGCAGTAATCAAATTAATGCGTAAAACTAAAATTTCAAATTAATGTTTTAAAATGTAATCAAATGGAAAGTGCTGCACAACAAAGATTTGATAAATTAAAACATACAAAAAAATGAAATCCCTAATGTTTAAATAAATTGTGGTGGTGTTGTTATTATTATTTTGAGAAGTACATTCTATTCTACAATAGTAACCTACTTCTTCATAGTACATACTAGTACTTTAAGGGATAGTGCACCCAAAAATGAAAATTAGCCCATAATTTACTCACCCTCAAGTCATCCTAGGTGTATATGACATTCTTCTTTCAAACGAATACAATCAGAGTTATGTTTAAAAATGTCCTGGCTCTTCCAAACTTTAAAACAGAAACGGCCATTCACTCCCATTATAAAGTCCATAAAAGTGCATCTATCCATCATAAGTGCTCCACACGGCTCTGGGGGGTTAATTAAGGCCTTCTGAAGCGTAGCGATGCGTTTGTGTAAGAAAAATATCCATATTTAAAACTTTATAATGTAAAATAACTACCGTATTTTCCGCACTATAAGCCTTATAATCCGGAGCGCCTTATATATGGATGGTGAACACACGTTCACCAAGATGGGGAGACAGCGCCGGGCTGATATATCAGTCTCAACTGTGATCCGAGCTTTCACGAAGGCAGGAATAATCTCTTTATTCAGCCGGCTCACATACCCGTATTTACTTCCTGTTTTCGGTCGAAGTCCACAGTAGTTGATTGTCGAGTTTGCGCGCGCGCGATCAAACCTCCTCCGTGTGTTCAACATCTGATTCGGATGAACTATCCATTTGAGCTGATATTCTCAGAACACCACACAGCACCGTCATCGGCTGACAGCTGACAGTCTGAGTCTCCACTGTTGCTTAGTTACCAATGATCGCGCGTGCGCACTCGACAATCGCCTACTGTGGACTTCGACCGAAAACAGGAAGAAAATACGGGTATGTGAGCTGGCTGAATAAACATCATTTTTATTCATATCTTTCACATTTACTGCAGTCAGATTCACCGTGTTCACTCACATGGCTGTGCACTTGTAATGACACATTAAGGTTGTTAAGAGGCTAAAAGCAGGTTTAAAACTTGTCCCGTTTAAGTCAACAGGGTGCAAATTTTAAAAAGAGGATAACACGGTGTAGGCAACACCGGTTTTTGTCATTGTTATCTGTACTGACAGCACTCCAAATTTACAAAAAATTAGCTCAGTGTTAAAATTGACCGGAGTTTTCCTTTAACGTTTGAACAACGTTACCATGGGAGTGAACGGAGTTGTCAGAACGCTTAATAAAGTTTGACTTTATCTGACTGTTTTGTTGACATTTGTTGACATCTAGTGGATGCATAACGCAAACCCAGTCAAACGTTTGACTGCAGTATCTCATGCGCCTTATAATCCGGTGCGCCCTATATATGAAAAATGTTCTAAAATAGGTCATTCATTGAAGGTGCGCCTTATAGTGCGGAAAATACGGTAGCTTCCGGCTAAACGAACATACGGATTGCGCCTAAAGTGCAACTTGTGACTTCGGAAGTAGCGTAGTGCGTCATGGTGTAGCGTAAATATCAGCAGTGCGTCGCATAAGTTGCGCTTTAGACTTAAGTGTAATCAGAATGTTCCTTTGGCCGGAAGCTAGTTATTTTACTTTATACATTTTTAAAAATATTTTTCTTACACAAACGCATCGCTACGCTTCAGAAGGCCTTTATTAACCCCCGGAGCCATGTGGAGCACTTTTATGATGGATAGATGCACTTTTATGGACTAAAAAACAGAAACGGCCATTCACTCCCATTATAAAGCGTGGAAGAGCCAGGAGTCAGGACATTTTTAATATAACTCCAATTGTATTCGTCTGAAAGAAGAATGTCATATACACCTAGGATGACTTGGGGGTGAGTAAATCATTGGCAAATTTTCATTTTTGGGTGTACCTACCCTTTAATTTCTTTAAGTTAAACCAAACTTTTATTTTGATGGGTTTTAGTGAAGACCGTTTCAGAGCAAATTTGGCTGGTTTTTCTCCAATAAAATGATAATGCTCATTAAGCGTTCTCTCAGAGCAGCTCTGGATATGTTCATGTGTTCTCGTCCACATTATTGTGAGTTGGCAGATGCTGAAAACACCATGAGGTCTTCACGCATACTTGAGTATGTAGTAGACAAAACTGTGCAGCTCATTCACACAGAGACACGCAGATTATAGCAGTCTTTTTGCTCTTTAACATCCACAGACCATGTCGCGACTTAATCTATTGTACATCTCTACTTTTGATTTATTCATCCGTCCATCAATTCATGTGTTTTATGTGACATCTGCATTATACTGTAAATTCCATTTTCACGACTGGATTAAAGGGGTTTCCCTCTGCATTGTGGAAATCATATGACCTAAGTTATTAATGGGACATACCTTTATCTGCACTGAGGGATGGAATATAGGTGAACATGTTCGTGTTTCCTCTTTTTGCAGCCACTTGCATCCACCTTTTTTTCAAAATTGGATATCTATCCTCGAGGACAACCACGCGTTTGTATTTTCTGTATCCAAAGTATTTCCATACTGCAAATTTTTACTTTTTCGACGGGGATGTAGATTAGAGATAACAGCTTCTGTCTCTGATATTTTACTGCTATACGTGTGGGTGGAGCAAGTTCAGTTTAAGCAGTCAAGAGGAAAGAATTAATACCGTTTTAATTAATTACCCCCCCCCCCCCAATACCGTAGATAAACAAATGTGCACGACATGATAACCATAATACCGTGATATTATCGCCAAAGTTACAACCCTAATCAGTGTAGTCCTCTCAGATGGAGTATGTCCTTTTCTTTGTCTGTTTACGTTGAAACTGGCCTAAATTGGGTTCCACAAAAAATCTGATTCAATTGTCTTTCAAACATGCAACAAGAATTATCGGTGGCAGTTGGCTGAAAAAAATTTAATTGGTTGACTGTAAATGTGGCCTTTGAGATCTGCTGATTTATGCAGTCAAGTGTCTCTACAGCAATTCACTGAAGGTTTAATTTTGTATGTGTGCGGTTATTTTAATCAGGTTGCTGAAATAATCTCTGATGTGAGAGAGCCCATTTTTCCCATCTCTGAACCTGTGGATGAGAATGAGAAACGCAGAAAGCAAGTTAGAGTGAGTAAAACTTCATAAACCACTGATACCTAATGGCATCAACCTAATGCATTAGATTGGCATCATTTTAAAATATTTTTTTATAGTTAGCTGAGGTGCGAGTGCAGATAATGGAGGCCAAGCAGACTTTAGAAGATTGCATCAGCTGTCAGGACTTCAGTCGTGCAGCTGAGCTGAAAGACTCCATCTCTCAGCTGGAAGAGCTCAAGAACCAGCTCGCCCTGGAGGCTTCACAGCCTTCTGAAAATATCAAGGAGCAGCGTGTGGAGAAGGTACTAATTTACAAAGACACTCACATACATTGAAAAAATTAAATAATACATTTATTTAGCAAGCTTACATTTTAATAAAAAGTTACAGTAAATAACCTAGGATGGTATAATGTTTCAAATAAATAAAACTTTTTTTTTATTCAAAGAATTCTGAAAAATTAAGCATCAGTTTCCACAAAAATATTTTAGTAGCACATCTGTTTTCAACTGTTATTATTAATGGGTTAATTTGCCCAAAAATAAAAATTATCCCATGAATTATTCACCCTCAAGCCATCCTAGGTGTATATGACTTTCTTCTTTCAGATGAACAATCGGAATTATATTTAAAAATTTGCTCTTCCAAGCTTTATAATGGCGTTCCTAATTTTGTCCAAAAAGGTCCCCCCAAAAAAAGCCATCCATCATAAAAGTAATCCATACGACCCAGGAAGTTGATAAAGGCCTTCTGAAGCAAAGCATTGGGTTTTTGTAAGAAAAATATCCATATTTAATACTTTAAAAACTAAAATAACTAGCTTCCGGCAGAAGGCCTATGCAGGTCGACTTACGCCAAAAGAGTAACCCCTGACGCAATGTAGGAGTAGCGCAAGCTTTGATGTCTTTCGCGGTTCAAACAAATAGGGCAGGGCAACAGCCTCAAGCTCATCTTCTCTTATATCGAAATCCTCAGAATGAGAAGTCTAAAACAAGAATTTTTAATGAAGAAATGTCAGTTTTGTTTTGCTCTATCCTCTCCGCTTCCGCGTTAGTCAATACATCAGTTTAGGGGTTACTCTTTCACTGTAAATCGATGCGTACGGCCGTCTGTCGGAAACTAGTTATTTTAGCTTTATAACGTTTTAAATATGGACATTTTACTTACATAAACGCATTGATTCGCTTCAGAAGGCCATTATTAACCCCCCGGAGCCATGTGGAGCACTTTTATAATGGATGGATGTGGTTTTTTGGAATTTAAAATCTGGTCCTTTATTCACTGCCATTATAAAGCTTGGAAGAGCCAGGACATTTTTTTTATATATCTCCAATTGTATTTGTCTGAAAGAAAAGTCATACACCTAGGATGGCTTGAGGGTGAGTAAATCATGGGCTAATTTTCATTTTTGGGTGAACTATCCCTTTAAAGGGATACTCCACTTTTTTTGGAAATAGGCTCATTTTACAACTCCCCCAGAGTTAAACTGTTGAGTTTTACCGTTTTTGAATCCATTCAGCCGATCTCCGGTTCTGGCGGTACCACTTTTAGCATAGCTTAGCATACATCATTGAAGTGGACAAGACCATTAGCATTTCTCATTAAAAAATGACCAAAGTGTTTCGATATTTTTCCTATTTAAAACTTGACTCTTCTGTAGTTACATCGTGCACTAAGACCGACGGAAAATGTAAAGTTGCGATTTTCTAGGCTGATATGGCTAGGAACTATACTCTCATTCCTGCGTAATAATCAAGAAACTTCACTGCCGTACCATGAGAGCAGCAGGCGTAATGATATGACGCAGCGCCTGAAAATAGTCCCCAGCTCGATAATTTCCAACGTGACCGGGACTAACTGCCTGCGCCTGCTGCTCTCATAGTACGGCAGTAAAGTTTCTTGATTACTACGCAGGAATGAGAGTATAGTTCCTAGCCATATCAGCCTAGAAAATCGCAACTTTACATTTTCCGTCGGTCTTAGTGCACGATGTAACTACAGAAGAGTCAAGTTTTAAATAGGAAAAATATCAAAACACTTTGGTCATTTTTTAATGAGAAATGCTAATGGTCTTGTCCACTTCAATGATGTATGCTAAGCTATGCTAAAAGTGGTACCGCCAGAACCGGAGATCGGCTGAATGGATTCAAAAACGGTAAAACTCAACAGTTTAACTCTGGGGGAGTTGTAAAATGAGCCTATTTCCAAAAAAAGTGGAGTATCCCTTTAATAAGAATCTTATTTGAGCACCAATTCAGCCTATTAGAATGATTTCTGAAGAGTCATGTGAGTGCAGAGGAATAATGATGCTGAAAATTCAGCTTCGCCATCACGGTAATAAATTATATTTTAAAATATAGGTCTTCTGACAAATATCTGCTAATTAGATAATTGTCCATTTTAACTTTGTCTATCACTATGCTATCAGTCACAGTATACATGAATTGGTTTTGGAATTATTTTTGTGGAAAGTTGTTGTATTACAATTTGTTCAACTTGTATCATATGAGCATAAGTTAGTTAGTGAATTGCTCGATCAGTGTCATAAATGAACCTATTAAGACGTGTAAGTGTGAGAACAAATGTCGTGTGAATGGCCTGAGTCTTGGTGTCACATTTTAGGTGAACACTATGGCATAGTTGACACCATTAACGTGCATGTACATATTAAGCCTTACATTAAGTGCTTAATTTAAATATAATCTCACATACTGTAATCACATGTCATGTGTGTATTTTCCCCAGAGTGATCCAGAGACTTTGTTGAAATGTCTGACGATGTGTGCCGGGTTGTTCAAGCAAATGAACATCAAGAGAGGAATCTGCCCTACCATGAATGCTCTTATAGAGTCACTGGTACTCATACTCATTCATAAAAGCACTCACATTAATAACCATTTCCTGCTTTTCTGCAGTATAGGAAAAACTTGGGTCTGCATGGCACTTTTATCACAAGCCACTTTGGTTACTGGACTCTGTACACAAATCAATGTAGTGCTCAACTGGAGCTGCAGTTATGGGAATATAACTTCAAAGTGCTTTCTCATTCCTAGATACTGCCAAGTGTGTCCAACCCTAACCCTGCTGTGCGCAACATGGCTGTCATCTGTTTGGGAACTGCTGCTCTCCATAGTAAAGACCTCGCCAACACACACCTTGTGCTGCTCTTGCAGGTATTTAAACATTTGTGTTAAAGGGATACTCCACCGGTTTTTCATATTAAACTATGTTATTCCCTTAACTGACGGAAATGAGAGGGAGGGAGAGAGGAAGCGGGAGCCGGTAAGAGGACTTTTCACGAGTGATGATATTATTGCGCAAAGTCGAACTGCTCAAAAGCACTTGCTATGGTATTCCGCCATACAATATAGTCATCAATTTTAAACGCGTAGAAAAGCGCAACGTTTTATTTTGTGTCACCAGCCTAGGTCGAGTTACACTACTCGAGTAACTGTTTAAATAGGGAAAACGAGGAAGTGTTTGGTCGCTTCTCTTTTTGGCCCATATTTAATGCACTGGGCTAAGCTAAGTGCTAACATAGTTTTGCGGTAATACAGAGTGATTAAATGCACGCACTGAGACGAGAGAGGTATGTATCAACTCGTCTTAGTTAAGGGAATAACATAGTTTAATATGAAAAACCGGTGGAGTATCCCTTTAAAGATAACCAAATTCACTTTGTCTTGAAAGCTTGGAGATTATTTTGTGTGTGTGTGTTTTAGATCACACAGCTAGACGAGCCTAAAATCAGGATCAGTGCTCTCCGAGCTCTCATTGACCAGCTCCTGCTCAATGGCCTTAACATCCTGCAAGACAAGTCTGCTCCTCCTACCTCCCAGGCACCTGACTCTCCAGACAATAACGGACAACCTGACCAACAAGTTGAAGAGGAGAGTACCGTCCAGGGCATTCTGAGGATGCTTTCAGAATTCCTTGATAGTGAGGTACTGCATATCCATCACTTTAGGCACTTTCACATGTTAAAGGTACACTATTGGAACCAGTAAAATCTAACCCAACAGCTGAAAATATAAATCATTATTTGGAAGCCTATTGTAATAAACAGACTGAGGCAAAAAAAGTTTTGTACTTGCACAAAAGCAGAATTGACAGTACATTTTTTATTTTGTTGAACTTTTTAAAGTCAGCATGAAATGTAAGTTGCGGTCGTATTTCCCATATTGTACATATCAAAGTGAAATGGGGAGGAGCCCTCACACTGGTGTATGTGTCATCAGAGAAGAAATGTCAGGGCTCCAGACTGCGACCAAATGGTTGCATTTTGCGACCAAAATTTGAGAGTGTGTGAAATTTTACATCCAGTCGCACATGTGCGACCAGTAAAGTTGCCCCTTTTTTTTTTACACGTTAAACGTGGAAGGGGCGCATCAATGAATCCGGAATGAGTGGCAGGCCAATGAGTGTGACAAGGATAGGGAATGGCCACTGTAAGTGGCTTATGTGTGGAGGGGGAGGGTCCTAATCGAGCGCGCGTAATTAAACGTCTGTGAGAAGAGACGGAGACAAATATCACAGCCTGCTATGTGCGTCTGAGCAATGAGCAAGCGATCTATCGACTCATTCTTCTGACCTGCGACTAGTGCCAAAGTCTACAGTATCACAGTCGGATGATGATTTAGAGTCAGGTTTGTGTGGCGAAAAAGGCCCGAACCCACCATTTTCTGGAAGACTGGCTGCAAGAATTCAGCTGGTTGAGGTACTGTAAGGAGATGAACTCCATGAACTGCGAATGTTGCAGTCGCTACCTTGTTCTAGTGGAATGTTATTGGCCAGTGCCCCTAATGTCTACATACATTTGTTAAGTATTGTTTGTAACTGTGAAATGACCGAAAGGTTACTTAAAGCACTTTGTTACTAAGCACTAGGCTTGCTATGATAGTCAGTGTTACCTGTGTTCAAAAGCAACACAGGTTACATCTCTTCCCCACCGCGGCACCGCCCACCGCGGCACCGCCCCCCACTGTCGATTTTTATTTTATTTTTATAAAATCATTTAGTCCAGTTAGAGAACACGCTATTAAACTGAACATGTCTGCTTAATAAATCGTGAGCCGAACAAGAGTCGCCGCACAGATCAGCAACAGGAGTCAGATTTCATTCATTACGAGAGTGAGGAGCTGACTGACAAGGTGACTGCGGAATATTTGGTGTCAAAGCAAAATGTAAAAGTGCCTATTTAAGTGAATTTGTCATTGCACTGTTTTGTTGTTGTGTTTTTCATTAAGAATAATAGGCTAATGAACTAACCATTCAAGTAATATAGCAAGCGTTTTCAGTTTATTCCTATGGAAAAATTCTCGTTCTGCTCGCTCCGCTCCCGATGACGTGCGGCCGTGCACATGTTAGTTTTGTTGTCAAATTAGCGCCAATTCGGGGCACAACAACAAAACAGTGCTGCTCCGCACCATTATGAATACCCGTGCAAACTCGCGCATTTTACGCTTGCCTTTAAATTAGCGATTTAAAAGCCCCCGCCGGTGATACCGATGTTGTCACATGTCGATTAACCTGTGGTAAAATATCCTCACCGTCACATCCCTAATGTACTGTCATGACAGCGATGGTGCTGTCGATTTACCTTGTTGTTGCAGCTTCAAAAGTGCACAATAAAATGTGACACTGATAATAGATACAGAAATGACAATGTGCTGTTTCAAATTCAAAGTATTTATTAGTAATACAGTGGAAATCAGTAGAAATGTGAATATTTGGTTAGCATGTTGATTTACGGTGTGTGCCCCTAAATTTTCTGGTTGTGCGCCTAAAATTTTCATTTGGGGGCCACTGTGCTCCTAGTGAAAAAAGTTAGTCTGGAGCCCTGGATGTTGTAAATGTTGTTGTTTTCTGAAGTGTTCGGAAAAATTGTTTATAATAAACACTGCTGCATTCCATTAAACAATAATTTTTGATTTCATGATGACTTGACATTGCTGTGAACAGCCTTTATTTGATAGAACTGTTAATGTTAGTTTCATTCACATGTTGTGTTGAACCTATGCAGTGATTTTTCTGCCAACTCCTTAAGCTAGCATCTTGCTGGAGCTGATTGGCAGGCATTTTGACAATGTGCCCCATTTATACATGATGTCTAGATGGTGTAAATGTACTGCAAATGCTGTAGCAAATGAAACCTATTTCAAATTTTTCAGATCTGTGAGCTCCGCACAGAGACGGCAGAGGGTCTGGCCAAGCTGATGTACTGTGGGAGAATCCTAAGTCCAAAGATGCTTTCCCGTCTGGTGCTATTGTGGTACAATCCTGTAACGGAGGATGACCAAAGACTACGGCATTGCCTGGGGGTATTCTTACAGTTATATGCCCGGGCCAGCAGGTATACATATAGGGAGATCTACTTAAACTGAATAAAAATCATGTAAATGCTTTGAGCAATTAAAGGGGTAGTTAACCCAAAAATGAAAATTGTCTTTTACTCACCCTCCTGTTTTTCTAAACCAATGTGACTTTCATCTTTGAAACACAAATGAAATTTTGAGATTTTTAGTCCCTCTACTGAAAATCCATTCCACCAAAACTTACATTTTTTCAAAGGGTAATAAAGAGATTGTAAAAGTAATCCATATGAAGCAAGATGTTTAATACAAGTCTTCTGAAGAAACATGATTGCTTTATATGGTGAATGGGTTTAATTTAGCCTTTTATTCACATATAAACATTAATCAACACACATACATAGAACACATCAAATATCAGAATTTTCATTTTTGGGTGAACTAACCCTATAATGTAACGTGTATACCTGAATTACAATAATAGTGCCATTAACATTAAAGTCTGTTGTAACAGCACAGCCAGATATTTACAGTTGTTCCTGTAATTGTTGTACACTAGAGCAAATCAAGAGTGTGTGGAGGAGAGTTTTCTGCCAACCATGAGAACTCTGTTCAATGCTCCCGTGACCTCTCCATTGTCTGAGGTAGACGCATCCAACGTGGCTGAACTGTTTGTTGAACTAACACGACCCAGTGCTCTTGTGCAACCTGCTGCCGTACAGGTACACTTGAACTTGCATGCACGCTTACAGAAACAACAGTAATGGGTATGTTTAAAGCACTTTAATATGTTGATATTATGTAAATGATCAAACATCTCTTATGCAGGCTGTGTCTGTGCATGACTCCCTGGCAGTGCGTGTTTGTAATGAGATCTTGAGAGACGTTTCTGCTCCTGAGGTGCGTCTCTACTGTAAAACTCTCAGCTGGCTGGAGATTAACACTGAGCCTGGACCTGCCAACAATGAATTGCAACTACTGTTAAAAGACATTTTACAGGTACTGCTGGAGTTAGGTCTCTTTTGTGAACATGCAAATGCCAGATTAAGCAGAAAGGGATGAGAAATGAATGCCAATCTATCTGATGGGATATTTGATTAATGTATGCAATTATTTATGATCCATCAAGTGATCACTGTTTTTCCATCTTGTGTGTTACAGGAAGTGAAAGATAAGTACTGTACAAGGGTTATTGAAAAGCTTCGTAACCAGCTAAATGGGGATCGTTCCAAATCAGACAGTAACCAGGACACAACTTTGCTTAACTTGGATGACAATACTGGAGGTACTAGCAAGCAAGCTAAGCATTCTGTGACTAAGTTCAGAAATTTATAATGGCCGAGGAAGAAAATAAAAAGGGTTTTATTAGTATAAAACATTGTTCTTAGTCCTATCTAGTTTCATTTATGTAAGGATTGATGGTTGAGCTAATATTAGATAATTTGATTAATTTAGTTGTAATTGTTCAGATTCATAATTTTCAGTTGATTCCGTTTAAATCTTTACAAGTACACTATGCAACTTTTTGCCCTCTAGCGGTTAAACAAAACTGCATGCATTTTGAGGAAGAACATCGTATTGGTTGTGCTTTGGCTCTCCATGACTGCGGATAAATATGGTTCTGTCTCTAACTAAAACAAGAGAAAGATTATCCCACTGCTCAAAAAAACATGCACAAAAAACAAATTCCAGCACAGCGCTTCAACAACTAGAAAAATAAATAATTAATGCTTTACAATGAACTGTTAGAGAGCTACATATGGCAATTGATCTGCTCAATAAAATACCTTACTCACCTGTTGAGTTATAAAAACTGAATACAACATCGCTTTTACAACATTTTAAATCCCTCAGTTTTAGCCATCTCTAAAAAGACAAGCCAATGTTGATTCATATTTAATTACGAGCTCTGTCGTGTTTTCTTTTTGGCAGCAGACTTTTCCTTTATTTAATGTTTTTAAACAAAAGGGTGATTCCCCAGAGGTTAGAGATTTAGGGCTCCATTAGGAGCCTGTAACATAGTCAAAGTAGCCAGAGTAACTTTTCTCCGTTTACGGATATGATGAGACGCACAGGCGAGTGGCTTTTGTACGCAATTTCCTTTGAAAACATTCCCGCCCGATCTAAAATATAAATGCTTATAATGGGCTTACCATAGTGAATCAGGGTAAGACTAGAAGTATTGCTTTATTGACTGGTTAACAACTTAACTTAAATATAATTTAATAATTTATAAAATAATAATTTAAATTCATTTTGAACAAAAAAGTTACACGGCTTCCCTTTAAGTATTTACATTTTTTTTTTCTCATTTTTTATATATTTATGTAAATTATGATTTAATTTATAAAACAAATATATAATTTTTCAGTTGTAGTTCATTCTCGATTAATTGAATTAAAGTACTGTAAATGGACAGTACACTATATTTATATAGTAACAGTAAAAACGCCCTTTAAAATCCACTCCTGGTTGCAAATATTGACGTGATATGTTAATACCTGTAGTAAATAAAGTAGCTGTTACATTAACAAACCTATCCGTGTATCCTTGCAGAGGTGGTGAACAAAGATGAGACTAAACCTAAACGTGTAAAACGAGGTACAGTCTAATTTAATTTGATAAAATGGGGAGAAAAAATTGGTGTAGCTTTTATGATGGTTGTATTTAGCTCTGTCTGTTGTTTTTCAGGCCAGAAAAAAGCTTCAACTGCAAAAAATGGGAAGAAAACCAGTAAAGTGGAGTTGTCCTCTGAAAGGTTTGTTCCACATCTTGACTTTTTTGTTGTTGTTAATATACAAAATGGAAAAAAATTACATTTGAGATTGTTCAATTGTGTTTTGTTCTTATCCTTTCTATAGTGATGAAGAGAACGTTCCAGAAGTGCCTCCATCAGTGCGACCAAGTCGCCGTGCCAAGATGGCTTCTCTGGAGAAAACCAAGCAGGATCTGACTGCCCTCATGAACCAGGAGGCCAATGGTTCATAGAGTGGATTAGTTATGATGAAAGTTGACCTTATAGCATCCTACAGTCACTTCAGATCTACCTGAGAAATTACATACTGCTATATATTTTTTTTATACTTTCTCAAGAAATCTTGACTCCTTAGTCTAAACCTGGGTTGATGTCAAAATGGTCTTTGTTAGAATGCAGCATCTGCAGGACCTCTCAAGAGGCTGTCCTTGGGAAGGAGTCATGTTAACATTTATTTCATCTTTCTAAAGAGAGTGCCTTGGAGTTTCCTGAATTTTTGCAACATTTATTTAATTGTTTGAGGCTGTTCTCTTAAAAATGCACCAAACTACCCCTTTCGTTTATAATCGACTATTAAGAAAATGATGATCCTAATATGAACTAAATGTTGGAAATTTGGTGCATGTCAATAACAGCTAATATTTGAAAGTTGGTTGTTATATTATATTTCCATATAAAATGTTTACTTGCATTTGTATGCATTTTTTAAACCTGAATAAAATGTTTAAAACTGTAACGCAATTACTCTGACAGGACAAAATCTGTTTGCAAGAGATTTTATTGTTCTGGATTGAGACAATCTTTAAAGGCAAGTATAAAAAAAAAAAAACAGAAAATACAATGTGTGTACATAATTTGTATGTTTATGTACAACATCTAGCACCAGGTAACAAGTTTACAGTGGCCAAAACTTTTAAATGGCATATTTGAATATTGTAAGACTATATACAGAAGAAGGCCTCCTGACAATTCCCATTACAAGCTCCTACTCCAGCATATGGTTGGCATAGGTATAGAGATATAATGCATCATTTTAACGACTCCATTAGTTTGAATGGTTATTGAGGCCCTAAAGTAGTAGATGGAGTGTCTTATTTCAGCAGTATACAAATCGAATTGTCCATCTAAAGTGGTCTCAGTGTAGCACTGACTAAACTTATTGCAGAAATGCTAGCCAGTCTTGTAACAAGGAGCCTAAATGAATTCAGGTGACTCAAAACCTAAACCCACAGTAGGGCAACTTCAACCTTTTACATACTCAAGGGGCAGGGCAGCAGGCTGCTAACAAACAACAGATGTAAAGAGCTACCAAACAAAGTATTTAAATAACTAAACATACAGGCTGTATAACCAGTTAAAATGTTCTTGGTAGAGACCTAAATTAATGACATGTTTACAAAAATGGGTAATCAGTTTAGGCTGCTACTACCATGCCTTACCAGTAGATTTCAGGAGGTAGGTGTCACATACTGCTATAGATCAAAAATTAAGATTTTTTTTTTTTGTACACATTTTATATTCAAGAAATGATATGTGGAGCATAGTTGCCTCTGGGTGATCTTAAAAGCTTTTAATTTAAAAGAAAAACTGAAAATAAAACATTGCACCAAAAATACGCTGTACATTATAACAATGGTTGTCAGAAATAAGAATACAAAATGGGTAGCAGTTGGGTTTGGTAGTGCAACAAGAACATAAACCTGGATGTAAATTAATGCTTAAATGATTTTCCACAACTTGAAAAACAATGTAAATTCACAGAAGTTGTAAGAAAGGTTTCCATAACAGGATAAACATACAGGGTAAAAGCACACTACAGACACTTTTGAGAATAAAAGATGTGTAAAAGAAGTACAATCACTTTCAAATTTTAGAATGCACCGAGTACACGTTTTGAGTGGGCCGTTTTTGTCACAAGTTTACTGAATAACCACATTTAAAATATCTACATTGTTAAAAAACAAATAAAATTGTGAAGTATCCCTGTTATAATACAAAAGATTACAAATGTGAAATTAACTGATCTTCTCCAGAATTACATAAAAGTTAGCCTTAAAGTTTAACTCTGCAATGAGACTCCAAAATCATGGGTTGAGCAAACCAACCAACATACTGCCCATTTAACCTTTGATACTCCATGCAACTAGAAGACATTTACTTACTTCACTAGGTCTGCACCAAAAGTAAAATTCAAACGAAAAATTTTACAAACATAAAAACAAAATAATATTAAATAGTGCAACAAGTGTCTTAAAGTTTTTTTTTTTTCTTTGCTACATGATGCTTGCCGAGGTTGTGTGTCATAATGCTTTGTGATACTCATCCAGACCACCGTTGAAAGGCACCTTATGTTAGAGTTCAAGAAAATGTCTTGCACAAAACTGGACCCAAGTTATTTCAATGACCCTGTGAAGCACAAATTGGAGACATTGAGTTCTCCTCAAAGGTAAAAACCTCTACCTTATAAAAAAAACAAACTATTATTATACATTGAAAGCAGACAATCCACACTCCCAAGATCAACACAAAGTAAAAAAATAAATAAATCTAATATCAAAACATTCTTTACGGAGGCCAGAAACAAACTTTATGCCAGCATGCAGACGGGAGCCTTTGGTCAACACGTAGTCTGAACATATTTGACGTGATGTTGCACTGGTCTACTAAATCTCAGTACATACGAATGAGTTATTCAGTTACAGCTGTAATCGAAATTATTCAACCCCCATTGCAAATAAGGTGTATTGGCAAAACGGCAAAATGGTGTTTTACTAAGTACTAAAGATGCTTGCCATGAAGGTGTTGAATAATTTTGAGACGGCAGAAGTCATTAAAAGGTGCACTTTAAGTTGAATTTGGGGAAACCACTTGAAACATTTGTTGTTGAGCTATTTCAATTACTGTTGTTTGATTTGTTCATAGCAAACAGCTGAAAGTCTGTACATTTTGCCAATAAACCTGATTTGCAATGGGGGTTAAATCATTTCGATTACAACTGTAATTGTGACTTTAAATGATTCTCTTCAAACTTTCTCTGCCATGATGCTCAAATCTCACACATACTCCGTTTGCAGTGCGTATTTTTTCCCGTACCCATGTAAACAGGTTAGAGCTTTCACACTGCACGCGGGTGCGGTCCGGCGATCCGTTCCAGGAGCGGTGCGTATACAGCAGTGCAGCGATCGTTTACACAGAGTCGTTACAGCAGAGTCTATTTCTGCTGTGCTGCACGCGCTGAATTAAAGTGACAGCGCATAGTTCGTGGTCAAAATGAACACAAATTGACATGAAAATGTAGTAATTTAATCATAAATGCATTTAATTAAATAATACTATTTTTCAGTCATCTTTTTACTTTAAGACCGGGGTCAAGCAAGGAAAACTACAATTTACTTCAACAAGGCCACATAACGACACTCGTCTCATTCGTTGGTGGAAAAACAAGTTATTTGTGACGTGCAAGATTTATTGTATAAAGATTTAAATTATGCAAAAGAAAAGGTATGAGTTTGCTGTTTTTGTCAATTTTAAGTTTTCATTTAAAATGTTTGCGATTTTAATAAGTACATGGTTAAATATGTTACCACTTGCTTGAGCAACTTAATATATTTATAATCTATATAAAAGTAATGCATTGAATAATACGTTGTTTAAATTGTGTTTAAACGTGAATAGGCTACATCTATTAAAGAGTGTAGATGTGTACAAAGAGAATCGCACTGGTGAAGACAACTTTTTTAAATAAAAGTTGCTGATAACTTGATTTGATTGATGATTTGAGATACAAATAGTGAGTAAATGTGTTTGTGGTACAGCCGCGGATCAGTTGCGCACTGAAAACGCACGCAGCATATGTGAAAGCACTATAGCATGTGCTGCTCCTGTACCGCATACGGAGTCTGCGTTCACGAGTCCGCAGTGACGCTGGTGACGTAAGACGCTGCTGACGCGTTATCTGGTGCGTCCGTGTATTCGGGTTCAAACAAATATGGCTGAGCAAAAGAATGCAAGTCTTCCTCTGTGTCGAAAACCTTAGACATGTGTGCGAAGATTGTTTTGTTTACAGCGTGCGTCTCCCTCAGACTGTAAACAAAGCTCTTTCGCACCAGATAACACGTCAGCAGCGTCTTACGTCAGCAGCATCACTGAACGCGGATTGACAACAGAACCGGAAGAGAATACAATGCTGAATAAAGTCGTAGTTTTTGTTATTTTTGGACCAAAATGTATTTTCGATGCTTCAAAAAATTCTAACTAACCCACTGATGTCACATGGACTACTTTGATGATGTCTTTATTTCCTTTCTGGACAAGGACAGTATTATACCGTACATACATTTTCAATGGAGGGACAGAAAGCTCTCAGACTAAATCTAAAATATCTTAAACTGTGTTCCGAAGATGAACGGGGGTCTTACGGGCTTGGAATGACATGAGGGTGAGTCATTAATGACAAATTTTCATTTTTGGGTGAACTAACCCTTTAAGTTTAAATGTGAATACGTCTGTGAAAGAGTGTAGACCTATAACTACTGTGTCCAAATAGAATTGCAATGCTTAAACTTTTTTTTACATTATTTTATAAAAGTCGCTGATAATAAAAATATTGAGACTGCAAACGCAGCATACAGGTCCTTCTCAAAAAATTAGCATATTGTGATAAAGTTCATTATTTTCCATAATGTAATGATAAAAATTAAACTTTCATATATTTTAGATTCATTGCACACCAACTGAAATATTTCAGGTCTTTTATTGTTTTAATACTGATGATTTTGGCATACAGCTCATGAAAACCCAAAATTCCTGTCTCAAAAAATTAGCATATCATGAAAAGGGTCTCTAAACAAGCTATTAACCTAATCATCTGAATCAAGTAATTAACTCTAAACACCTGCAAAAGATTCCTGAGGCTTTTAAAAACTCCCAGCCTGTTTCATTACTCAAAACCGCAATCATGGGTAAGACTGTCGACCTGACTGCTGTCCAGAAGGCCATCATTGACACCCTCAAGCAAGAGGGTAAGACAAAGAAATTTCTGAACAAATAGGCTGTTCCCAGAGTGCTGTATCAAGGCACCTCAGTGGGAAGTCTGTGGGAAGGAAAAAGTGGCAAAAAACGCTGCACAACGAGAAGAGGTGACCGGACCCTGAGGAAGATTGTGGAGAAGGACCGATTCCAGACCTTGGGGGACCTGCGGAAGCAGTGGACTGAGTCTGGAGTAGAAACATCCAGAGCCACCGTGCACAGGCGTGTGCAGGAAATGGGCTACAGGTGCCGCATTCCCCAGGTCAAGCCACTTTTGAACCAGAAACAGCGGCAGAAGCGCCTGACCTGGGCTACAGAGAAGCAGCACTGGACTGTTGCTCAGTTTTGCATGTCATTCGGAAATCAAGGTGCCAGAGTCTGGAGGAAGACTGGGGAGAAGGAAATGCCAAAATGCCTGAAGTCCAGTGTCAAGTACCCACAGTCAGTGATGGTCTGGGGTGCCATGTCAGCTGCTGGTGTTGGTGCACTGTGTTTTATCAAGGGCAGGGTCAATGCAGCTAGCTATCAGGAGATTTTGGAGCACTTCACGCTTCCATCTGCTGAAAAGCTTTATGGAGATGAAGATTTCATTTTTCAGCCCCGCCTGGCACCTGCTCACAGTGCCAAAACCACTGGTAAATGGTTTACTGACCATGGTATTACTGTGCTCAATTGGCCTGCCAACTCTCCTGACCTGAACCCCATAGAGAATCTGTGGGATATTGTGAAGAGAAAGTTGAGACGCAAGACCCAACACTCTGGATGAGCTTAAGGCCGCTATCGAAGCATCCTGGGCCTCCATAACACCTCAGCAGTGCCACAGGTTGATTGCCTCCATGCCACGCCGCATTGAAGCAGTCATTTCTGCAAAAGGATTCTCGACCAAGTATTGACTATTGAGTGCATAACTGAACAATTATTTGAAGGTTGACTTTTTTTTTTGTATTAAAAACACTTCTTTTATTGGTCGGATGAAATATGCTAATTTTTTTAGACAGGAATTTTGGGTTTTCATGAGCTGTATGCCAAAATCATCGGTATTAAAACAATAAAAGACCTGAAATATTTCAGTTGGTGTGCAATGAATCTAAAATATATGAAAGTTTAATTTTTATCATTACATTATGGAAAATAATGAACTTTATCATAATATGCTAATTTTTTCAGAAGGACCTGTATGTGAAAGCACAATAGCGCGTGCTGCTCCTGCGCGCATACGGACCGCATACGGAGTATGTGTGAAGCTAGAACACACCATTGTTTGCGTACTTGCATAAAGTATGTTTCAGGAGTAAAGAGAAATAATGCTTAAAGACTTACCGAGCACAAAGTCACACCACCTTGCTCCCAAAACACCCCTGCTGCTCCTTGATTGTCTGAGCATTTTTGTTGGGGGAGATAGACTTGTGCTGCAACTTTTCCTTTTGCCTCTTTTTCTTCCTCCCTTGCTCTGGCTTTTCGGGGATGAGGGCAGCTGCACTGGAGAGTTGAGTGTCTCTCCCACCATAACATCTTCATTCTCCTCTTGTTCCGAGACATCATAGAGCTTTACTGTGCAAATGTTACATTCCTCTGTCGTTGACTTTGTGTTTGGGGAGTTGATCTTTTTCAGAAACACCCTGCACTCCTTTAAAGACTCTGGACTCCAAGCTTTTGAGCAGATTCTGTTCTGCTTTGAAATTTTGGCAATCCCAATCATTTTCTGAGGAGTTTTGACTAGAAGCTTTAATGCATTCTGAACTTTCATGACTGGTCTTGATGTTTTGTCTACCAAGTTAGGCATTTCTTTCAATAATTCTAGAGTCTTAGCACCTGAAGTCATTGTCCTCATCTGCTCACGAAATACTTTTTGTGCCGTATCATCTAATGTTATCCTGGGCCTGGTTTTAAACTTTAGCCTTGCTCTAAGCAGAGCTGTTCTGTAGACAACCCATGCGCCACTAGATCTAGACATTTGCTGCCTAACGTCATGCCTCAGTTTAAGTGGCGTGTGAAAAAGCTTTCTCTTGGCTTTTGACCTCATTGATTTGGACAGCAATTTCTGTGCTTGTTTGTGCATTGACGGACTCTTTGGGACCACTGTAGCAAATTTTTTGACATGTTTCCTGAGCCGCTCTGCTTGTGGACTTGGGCAAACATTCACTTTGCAATTGGGTCTGCTGAGGTTGTAATGAAAGACGTCCTTGGGATTTCTTGCAGTGGCCTTCTTTACAATTGCAAGGGACTGAGTTTCTGTCGACTGCATAAACCAGGTACAGAGCTTATCCATATTATAGTTTTTCTCAAAAAGCATTTTAATGGCAGAAGCAGACTTCTTAGCAGAACCATTAAGCTTCTCACAAGTTTTTGGTTTAGGGTCAGTTTTAATCTCTCCTGACTTGGCCTCAAGGACATCTGATACCCAAGTATTGGATATCAGTCTGATCCTCCTAGCGAACTCTTCATTTAAGGTCTCAGGTGATGCTGAGGTGGGCCACCACCTGAAACCCTCATTTGATGAGAAAATGGAGTCCACTGATACTGCAGAAAAACGACTGACACAACTGACATTCTTGGTCTTTATGGAAAGTGCATTGTCTGGGGGCTCCTCTTGTCTGTTCTTTGTATGCTGGCTGGCCTCACAGCTAGCCTTATTCAACAGTAGTTTCCGTGACCTGCGAACCAATGCACAGGATCTGGCAGTAGCGACAGAATGGAGTAAATGAATGGAGGGTTTCCGCTCTCTAACAGAATGTCTCACTGGTATGAGCTGCCCTCTGGTATTCCGATTATTTTCCTTCGGTGGATCCACTCTATCCTTGTGAATGTCAGTAGGAATGCTGATTTTCTTCTGCTCTTTGGAAGGATGAAATTCAACGAGAAGAGTCCTTCTGAGCAGATGTGAATCTTTTGCGTCCCTTTTCATATGTATCTTTCTTTGTCTTGGTGATCCTGTGGTGACGGTTACAGAGATCCCAGAAATTTTGACTTTGGGAGGTCTTCCTGGTTTTCTTGACACAGCTGTATCACTCAGTCTTTGACATTTTATGTTGCTGCTAGAATGGACACATTTCCGGTCTTCAATAGGCATAACAAAATGAAGATCTTTATGATGATCGTTGGTCACTTGATCAGTACTTGTCTTTCCAGAACATTTACATTTACTGTACATGCCTCCATTACTTACTTCATAAACATGTTGCTGTGCTGGGAAATTACCCAAATCTTCAGAAACTACTCTCCTTGCCCTTCTTGATCTTCCATACACTATGGTGATTTTTAGATTTTTGTTTCCATCATCCTTACAAGACATTTCTGTTGTTCTATGATTCACTGCATTGCAATTGGTTGCGTTACCTGTTGAAGAACTTAAGTCTGTTGGTTTGGATTTTGGAGGTCTACCAATGGGACGTTTCACAGACTTAACAATATGTGGTCCTATTTTTTTGGGGCGCCCAGGTCGCCTTTTTACTGGAATTGTATCATGTACAGTTGGTAGTGTTTCTTGGTTTTCACCTTCGTTGTTTGAACAACTGGGCAATAATGCATCAAGTGAAACCACTTTTGGTGAAGTGCACTTGTTCCCACCACACTCAACAGTTCTCCCCGGTGCAGATTCAAGGACTGAATCCTGGAAATGTTCATCAATGGCACTGCCTGCCCATGAGGATTCCACACATGGATCAAACATCTCTCGATGTGAATTTGAGCCAGAGGCAGCTGCTTTGAGTGTATATTTTACACCATCTTTACCCGCCACAGAGGAGACAAACATGAGCTTTATCGGACTATCATATTTCAGTCCAGACGGGCTTGCTTTAGCCTGTTGTGCACTCTCAGTGGTAGTCAAGTTAGACATAGTTTCAGTAGGACTGTGTGAGTCAGTGTTTAGACTGTTGGTTCTATGGCGTTTAGATCTTTTTGATGGTGAGGTGGAATTCTGGCATGGTTTCCTTTTTCTTGCACTCTCTTTATCAGGATTCCTTACATTATTCTTGTGCTCTAAGAGTGGCTCATTTTTGGGTAAAATCGCATATTTCTGTGAAGCTATGTTCTGCGGCAGAACACAATCTTCTTGTTTATCCACAGTTTCAAATGGCTGATAGTCACATTTATCACTTGGCCAGGCAATTTCTTCTGTGAAGCCAAGTGCTGTTGAGGTACTGTCTTTAGGGGAATGCTTGGTGAATATACTCTCTGAAAAACAGGCTGCAAAATACATCTTTCGAGGCTCAGTGACATAGGAAGAGAAACGCTGTGGTGGTACAATATTTCGTCTGGACCTTCCAACTTGAACAGTCAGATTGTTCTCTTTATGGATTTTTGCTTTCACCTTCTGGTCACTATCGGTTGTTTGTAATTGCACAGTTTCATCTGAAGCAAGTGGTTCCTCAAGACATACATGTTGGGGTTGAGCTTCTTGGATCTCTTGATTATTTGGTGTCTTTTCACTTTGTGGATGCGTTGTCAGATTTTCTATGGTATCTTTTACAGGCTCTGTGTAAACTCTGTCCAACTTTCTGCATGTGATCTGCGAAGGTTTAACAGTTTTTAAGCAGCGATCCCTCTCAAAGCCTATATTCCTCTTAAAATATAATGGACTAAGTCTGGCCAGATCTCTTTTGATTTGTAGGCTTTGTCTTCTTGATGATGGAAGGTCAGGTGACTTGCTCATGGCAACTAAATTTTCCAATCTCTTACGGGAACGTGTCTGAGGGGATTGCTGTTCTGTGGCCACATGCTGTTGCAAAAGCTCATTAAGGTTGTAATCTTTGTCACTACTATTGTGTAGCACAGTTGTTATAATCTCAGTCAAATGCGAGTCATCTCTTGTCTCGGAGATTTGACTAGCATGGGTAAGAAGATTTTGTTCCTTATCTGAGGGTTGGATACTCTTGAGCTTTTCAGTGACTCTATCCATTAGATCTCCTATAAAGGATCCACACTGGTGGTCACTCTCTTTCTCTGCGTGTGTATGCAATGTTACAACCTCTTTGCAACATTCATCAGGAGATCCAACACATAGAGGAGTGTTAGAGTACAAAGCTGTATCTTCATCCTCAGTTCTGTGAGGTAGGAGAGAAGGAGGTGCCATGTTCAGGGCCTTGCAGTCCTGAATGTGCAAGACACTGGACTTGACAGCTATTTTACAGTCCAGGTCCACAGGTTTTGGTGAGAGTGGTGGAGGGGAGGGGCTCCGGCTTCCTTTGCATCTATTATGAGAATTACAATCACCCTGAGGGGTGATTAGGGCACCACTTGTATGAGAAATGTAGGTATGATCACGGTGCTGCCATGAGGGTAGTTTTGAGTGAGTACAACAAACAGTGGTGTTAGAACAGATGACTTGGCCAACACATGCCATGGATGTATTTTGGCAGCAATGGCCATTAATGTTCCTTATACAGATGGATAGAGGAGAAAATGCACATGTTGGAAGCATACTAGCTGTTCTGCAACAAATGTCAGCAGTTACTGAGCAGTCACTTAATGAAAGTGTTGGGGCTTCATTAAGCATTTTTTTATCAGCATGGCAGCAAAGGGATCTGGCCTTAAACTGTCGACTGTGAGCATCCCGCATAGGTAAAGAGATGTTGTAATCTTCCTGCACATCCTTTAAAATGTGATAGAGTAGCAGTCTATGACGGGAACAAAGCAAAGACAGGACCTTCTCCAACACAGTGACTCTCCAGACCTCTGGAGCTTTAGGATAATCTTCCTTCCCCAGCCTGGACTGGTCTTCCACACTTGGTCCTAAGGAACTACATAAATAAATTAGGTTAAGTCATTACTCAATCACTGACATAATCAATTTTCATGAATGTGACCTGAGCTAACCCTCTCACCTCGTTTAACTCTGTTGTGATGATTAATACATTTTGATTGGTTTAAAGGAATGATACAATCCAACTATAAATATATATTTCATAATTATAAAGCTGGCATAGCTGTATTTAAAATCTTGTTAAAGGTACCACATAACATTGCATAGGCCTGTTCACACCGGGACGAATTTCACGCGCGATATTCGCCGACGTTTAACGCCTTGTGACTAAACAAAGGGCGCCAATGTGAGTGTGCACACCGACGCGATAAACGCCACGCGTAAAAGCGTCATTTTTATTAAAACGCCTCGGGTTCGTTTTTTTTAGTTAAAAACTATCCGACCAATGAGATTGGCGCTTTTGCTCACGTGTCTGGAGCTTCTGAAGTTACCGTAAAACACAACTTGGGGGCGCTCAAACACAAAACGGTCTTGCCGAGCACACATACGTAACGGCGAAGAAGATATACGCCAAGTAGCGTCTACACTGCCGGGAAGAAATAAGACGAGGAAGATGCAAGGCAAGATGAATGTAGAGCTGCTGGTCTCGTTGGTGTCGGAACATAAAGAACTATATGACAAACGCGACAGCGACTACAAAAACCTTGATAAAAGAGAACTGTTATGGAGTGGTATTGCAGAGCAAATGGGCGCCATCTAATGTCAGGGAATGAATTTGCATGTTCACTCGGATCATCGTCAGCCAAAATCGCTTGGGTGTGAACACAAAAAACGCGTTGAAAAACGCTGCCGAATAACGCGCGCCGATATTCGTCCCGGTGTGTACGAGCCTTAAGGGTGTTATATCTATACATGCAGAATTACAAAAGTGTAAAAGCCACAGAAAAAAGTACTAGCAACTGTACATGGAACAATTTTTTATTGGTAACTTGAAGGCAAAGGATGGCGATTGTAGTAACGCTTACACTCAGGAAAACTATGTATATAAACAATTACTTTAATCAAACCTGAATAATTTTGTTTCCTGATAAATCAATGTGTCTCCTGACAAATCCAATTACAAACCAACAACATTTGCAGGCAATATGTTGTCTTTTGAAAGCAAAATACAACTACCCCAAAAGGTAACAGATTTGTTAAGGGGTGGAGAAAAAGAATAGAGAATGTTTGATTTTTTTTTTATAAATTACACTTTTTCTAAAATGTAGGATATTTAAAAACACGGAGTAATATGCCTTCAGTATTCCTTCTTATTACAATCAATTCAATTCTTGCTTTGATTAGCCTTATCCTAATCCTGAAATGTTAAAAAATAGACCACACCAAATATAAATATTTCAGACACAAATAAATGCTTAAAAAGGACCAGTTTTTCCCCATTTGATCACAAGTTGATCAAAAAGTCATAACGATTAAATATACATTAACCTGCCTGGGGTAAAAACAAAACATGTTGAGTAACATTACAGGACAAGGGACTCAATTATGCATGCAAGTGCAGTAAAGCATTTCACATATCAATGTGCAAGAGCATCAAAGTGCTTCAACACAAAACCCAATGCTTCAACCCAAAACACAATGTTTAAACGTCATATTCTGATTACATCAAAAGAAATAACACAATACAAATACAATTATATATTAGAATTAGAGGGATTACAAAAATCAAATCTTAGTACAGCAGATATATGCATAAATAACTGATTGCAAAATTATTAATATCCTGAACCTGTTATGAATATGAAATTACACATACTTAGAAAGGCCTAAACCGGTGATATTGATCCATTTAATGATCCATCTATAAATCAAGCCAAACTGTTTCGGGGGGGAAAATAAATATTTAAATTTATATTTTGCCTTTCTGATGAACCACCTCTGCTGAAACATGCTGTCCCCATAATATGGGAGAAAACAAATTGGCTTTGGATGAACCATATTTGACTATAACAGAATCCTAAGGGCCCTCATTTTGATATAAAAGAACCGTTCTAACACAATCATGCTGTTTTTTTAGGATTGTTGTTACCCTGAGAATACTAATGTTATGTTTTTGGACAAATTATACAGGACACTAATAGGATGTTAGAACAACAATGTGAAATAATGGGGACCAACATTCTCCATTGGGAGCCTAAAAGTATCCCATATAATGAAAATATGAGAGTGCAGCACTGACAATACATGTATATGATTTAAAGGAATCTGTATGATATTAACACTTACATGACCACCCTTTACATTAAAAGTGAAACTGTGCCAGCAACATATCTATCCCCGAGAAAAATAGAACAGAAAAATTTAAGTTACATTGGTAACGGTATATAAATCCACAAAACAGATTTTATACATGATCCACAGAAGTATATAAATACTTGTTTGTATTTTTTTTAAAGATTTGTTATGTAAAACGAATGTAAAAACTACTGGCCAACAGAATAACTGAGCCGTAGCTGTAAGAGGAGGCACTGTGTTAATTTTAAGAGCCCATGAAGAACATTCAGGGTTGTTTGATAAATGCTTCTAAATCAGAGGTAAATTTAAGAATATATCAGTAAATTATAAAAGTTTTTTTTTTTTTTTTGGATGGAGGGGAATTTAACTTCAAAGACCAACAAGAGGTAAACCATTTACAGAACACTCAACACAACGATAAACACATTAACATTGCATATGGAAATGTTCATATTTCCTAAGCTTCAAATCACAAAATTCACATGCTTCAGCTACACTTTTCAAAGCACTAAAAGTATACTTGTGAATCAGATATCAGAACTATGCTAAAAAAGATGCCATTGAAGGTCAGTATATGGCCATATCCTTCATCGCAGGTATGCAACAATAACCTGTATCACAAGTATGTGTGCATCTTTTGTAAAGTGCAACTGAATCTTATATTCCAATTATACAAACTTCTAAACTCATTTAAAAAACAGGTCCATGCTATAAATAAGGACTCAGTTAAATTACCAGTATCATAAAGTGAAACAGTTGTATAATAGGTCATTAAAAGCTATAGTAATCATTAACATGAGAGAAAAAAAACCCAACACAAAGCAAGAGCAGCATAACTATAGAAACTGGACATTTAAAACAAAGCTTTTCAGAATAGCACTTGGATCAGCCTTCCGATTTCTGTCCCAGAAGAAATTCTGATCCAAGATCAGCAGCACCCTACTCTGAACTAGTTTGTTCATGGCGTGTGTAAGTGGAGTGGCAAAATGACCCTGAACTGTTTTGGTTACAGCAGACAGATAATGCTAGGGTGTCTCTAGTGTGAGGAAAAACAAGATTATAGAGTAGAATTCAAATCAGAAAAGAGAATATGGAGTGAGGATTTCAGTAGTTCTGATTACTGAAAAAAAGTAATAAATATTATTCTATTCTTCAAGGTAAAACAAACATTCACTGAGACTATCATCAAGCTTCTTTTTTTTCCAGTGCACTATTCTGACATGCATTACGTTGCAACTTACCCCGTACAATTTGCTGAGCAGATATGCAGGTAAAATGGAAAGGGGCAAGACATACACACACACATATATATATATATATACATACATACATACATACAATGTTGTGTGTATAGAATTCTAAGCATCTTAACTTACCAAAAATAAACAAAATAATAAAATCAATATCAGTGCAGGATGTGGGAAGTCTCATCCACAAAAAGCCTGAGATGGTCCAAGCTTTCACTCCAAAGATCTGGCAACAGTCCCGATTAATGTACTTCATTAATACTTCATGAAACTGATATAATTACCTCTTTTATACAACAAAACGTACCAATAAGTATTAAGTCCAAAAATATTTACATAGTGTTGTTCCTTTGCTGGAGTGGAAACTTGTACCTATATCTACCCATTGCATATATGGTTAGACATCTCCCACTGGTGAGTTAAAGAAGATGTTAGTCATGCTGTCACCAGATGTGCCACACAGACAGCATAAAATACTGTTGATAGACATGAAATGAAATGACCAGTCGCTACAAAGACTAATCGGTGTGAAAGCTGCATACAACAATCATTAAGCTGAGATTAGCTTATGTATTAACAAAACCTGAATATTTCTTAGTTTTAATTGTAATTAACTTAAATTCAACAGTGCTTTACAATATTTTAAATATATATTCATAGAGATATCCACAGTGAAAACCCTGAATAGATTTTTTTAAAGGCATGTTTTGTGACTTGATAAAATGTACCATTTAACCTGTGGTTGAGGATTCAAGTGTATCTTCCAAGTCTGAATGAGGTCCTGACTGCATGTTGAAGTAAAAAAAAACAACAAAAAAAACCTTCTGTTGGCTGTAGTTTAAGCGATGTTTTTGTTAAAACCATCTCTAGGAAATAGTTGAGGTTTTGGTTTTGAGTTAAGACTGTTTGTAGGCAGTAGATGAGGCATTGGTTGTTGTCCCTGACTTTCCGGAGCCTGAGGTTGCCGCTTCAACAAGGCGGAGCTTCTTTTTTGGTGGGGTCTTGAGCATGCCTGTTCGCTCTTTGACTTTGTACTCAAGGGTGCTGTGTGGAACCCCATAGACACCCTGAGCTTTTGACACGCTCATCTTCCCACTAATCACCATGGCTATGGCCTCCTCCAGGATATCGTGGTCATATTGCCGATAACGGCCCCGCTTTTTCCGTGGCTGCTTGTCTCGACGGTCATCATCTCCAGTGTCAACCAGACTTCCAGTGACGCTACCGCCAACACTCCCATTCTTTATGTTCAGACACAATGGTGGCACGTCACCCTGGAGTAGACGTGACTCAAGGCCTGAGTGGCTTTCGACCAAGCCCTGTTTAGGGAGAATGGTCTTTAGCTTGTGGAAAGCAGTGGAGCCATCAGAGCCTTTGTTGGCCTGGTACACAGCATCCACCAGGCCAGCCAGATCCAGCTGGGCTTTGGGCTGAGCACTAAAGCGTACCTGAGGGATTCGGATGTGCACAGCTGGCCCAGTGGCAGGACTCTGAGGAGATGTGGCTGGCTCGGTGCTGGCGAGAGACCCGCCGTTCTGCTCCCGTAGCTGCGAGACCATCCTCTGCAAGGTTAAGTGGTGAAGGTATGATGAGGCAGTCACGGCTGCAGGGAATTTCAGCTCGGTGTGCTCTGGTGACGTTAATTTACATTTTCTTACTTCGGATTGCTCGGACTGCGAGCGAGCCCATGCTGCTACCTTCTGCAGGATGAGTCGAGTGTCGTTGGTTGGCCAAACCGACTCAGTCTTCGGCGATAAGGCCTCTGTCTGGAGCTGTAAGGTTTTCTGAGGTATCCCATATAGTATGGCTGCTTTGTGAATGTCCAGTGATCCAGAACGAATATCTTTCAAGGCTTTAGAGAGCAAACCCTCAGCAAACTCAGAGCTGCGATCCAAATAGTCCGCTCTGATTGGTCTCCTAAGGGGAGGTGGGTGGGAGGATGAGAAACGAACGGGTGAGCGGACCAATGACAGGACGCACTCAGGGTCCACTCCTTTACTGCCTTGTCTTTTGGTAACATCACTCGCTTCTCAATTGTCTGTATAACACAAAGCCTTTGTAAACACTTTGTTTTTGGCCTTAGGTTGCAAACGATACTTCTTGGAAGGACAGTCTCGTCAATTGTGTGGAGAAAGACAAGCGTCTATGGGAGTACTTCCAGTATCTTTGCAATGCAGATGCATTTTGTAAGACTCAGGTATTTACTTTTCACGTGAAAATACTGCATAAATCAACGAATAGATAAATAAACAAATGAATAAATACAGGCGGCACAAAGGAACAAGTAATGTCCCTGACTGCTGGCAAACGTGACGTTACCTTCCAACAAGTTAGAAAAGAGTCAACCCTTTGGCAGTGCAAAAAAAACAACCACTAAATTATACATTAAAAACATCAAAATGTATGAGGAGTAAAATTTGTTCACACAAAATGATCAGATAGGATACAAATGAAACAAAGACTCAAATATTTTTTAAAATAAAAAGCATCAATTTTTACTGGGTCAATTTTACCAGTTAAAAGACCATTTTGGAGCCAAAATTGTCTTTGGCTCTGTTGGCTCTGTAAGTCAAACACACCACTTGGTAAACAAAACAGGAAAAGGAGAAGTACTCACCCTGAAACTTTACGTTGAGAGGTTTCATTTTCTGAAGATGTGTTTTTCTTAGAGAGGTCAAGTACTCCATCTACTATGAGAAGTAATCCATGAAAAATAGCAATTAATACATTTTGAGAACAGATGCACAATATCATCAAATATTTGCACACTCAGTAAATTCACAGTTGGGTTCCTTCCAGAGCTAGGCTTAATAAATAAAAGTCAATAGACGAGTTTCTCTGAAAGCAAGGAAAAAATTCTGAATCTGTACAGTGATCTAATATTGCAGAGCTACAAACTTTTTAATTTGTATGAACATGGCAGTGTACTGGTCTCTTGAAGTGAAAACAGTTGTGATTTACATTACACCAGTATTTGATTACACAATTGTGATTACACAAGTAATGAGGATTCATTTTTGGTGCTTACCTTGCAAGGCCTGAGAATCTCGGCTGACGGTGAGGTCCAGGGGTCCATCAGTATCTGGATGTTTAGGGAGAAGCTCATTGTTGTCACTCAGGCCATTCAGGCCCTCATGAGCCTGGCTTTTACACGCATACTCTAAGGCAAACCGCTGAATCATCTTGCGCATCAACTCCTGCGCCGCCAATGGTATACTGGAATCGCAGCTCTGAGGGAATTCTGGGAAATTGATAACCACAGGACTAGTTGAAGATCTCATGCACTTGCAAAACATGTTCCTCATGTAAAAACATCAAAACTACTTTCACTACATATTTGTCTTAAAACATAACACTTCAAGAATTCATACTTTTTTGCACCATGATTTTCAAATCTTGTAGTGTGTGCATTTTTTAGATTTGAAAGAAAATCTGCAAAGATTCTCTTTGAGTGTAATGCAACCAGATTTCATAGTCATTTAAATTTTAAAACTCCTGTAGTCTGAGCCCAGCTTAAGTCAAATGTTCTTTTACCTTGCATAACTTTGTTTATGGATTTTGACGATGGGGGTACATTAACCTGCCCGTGTTGCCATCAGCCTAATCTGTCATAACAGCCTTGGCATTTTGCCTAGTTACCATTAAGTCACAATTTACAACAATACTGCAGACAGAGTTTGAATCAATGCATGGCCACTGACATCAACATATGAAAAGTATTTTCAACTTCCCTTTAAATGTCAGGGGTCAACACTAAGGATTTATTTTACTAGCCCTGTCAGGCCAGTGGTTCAAATTTTCACTTGCCCCACCATAAAAAAAGTTAAATAGGCCTATATAAAAAAAAGAGGCCTTGTTATTGTTTTTGTTGTTATTGATTTCTTTGTGTTTTGTAGTTTGATTAACATTAAAAACACAGACAGGAGCAGGTATATTAGGCTGCTGTCACTTTAAGACCTGATGCACGGATTTAATATACTGTTACATGAGTTTTATTTCTCAACTGTTTACGTTCAGACTGTTTATGAGGATACTCTCCAATACTGGCATTTTGAGGTAATTTTGTGTGAATGTCCATTCAACCGCAAGACGTGAAAGAGAACTCAATTTTTGTCTTAGAAGCAACTTTCTGGGCGTGCGCTTCAAATGTGTGCACGAGTACTGATTTGAGTTCTCTTTCATGTCTTCTTGCACTTGAATATTTAAATGGGCAAGGCTTAAAAACACATGCTAATGATAAACTTTTGTGATAACGCTGCACTGTTCAGTCAACTGTACCGAGCGCCATTCACGCTGGCTCCGGGCCATCAGGCAGGCAGTCCTTATTGTCGAGCCCTGAATGTAGATAAGCCTTTTCATTTTGCCATCTTACCTCTACAAGTTTATATGGATCATGGTTTATATTTTTGGATCATGACTGGGGCTTTGCATCACCAAGAATCGGACGATACAATGTGTATTATGATACAGGGGTTATGATACAATATATTGCAATTCTATAAGAAAGGAGATATATTGCGATATTTCTTGTTTTTTTAGGAAGATCTAATTTATATTTAAAAAATTCCACATTGCTATGATCAGATGCTTTCTTAATTGTGTTCTCACCACAGTCCTTTTTGTTGTTATTGAGAGGAAAGCGTGCAGCACAACGCTCAGCAGCACAGATTCAATGTGTTTCCCGAGTATTGTATTTTAGCGTGGTTTATTTTGCAAACAACAAGACTTGTCGATCTCCTTAGTGGTTTCATTATAGTGGAAGAAAAAGGAGTCCACACTTCAGCTCTGAACACCGCGGCAGGAGCTGGTATAATTCTATCATGTTGTTTGCTAATGCTAACGCTAGCGATGCACCCTTGTGCTTCTCCCCGTCACAGTTCACGTGTATTTATATCTATATATATCATTACCCTCATGTTGAAGACAATTGTTGTGCAATTGACCCTTCGCAGGAAGTTTGATTGACAGGCGATCTGACCAATCATAATCTGCCATTTTTGTCCGACAAAGCAGTCAGGGGAGTTAGTAGATGAACATTGGAGGATTTGAACTTGAAAAATGGAGTGTACTGACTAGGGCTGTACTCAACCAAAGAAAATCTTGGTCGACTGAAGTCCTGAAATTTTCAACCTAAAAATTAAGCTAAATTAATTAGCTGCACACTGTGCGCAGTACTTGGCAGCCTTGTTGTCCGCCTAAATGAATTATAAATAAACATAAAAAAAACTAGTAGACTATTTTGCAGTATATTAAATCGTTTTTGACCTAATTATTTTGCACTGAAATGAGTCTGACACACGAGTCTGTCGGCTCTGACAGCGTTGCATCACGTGCACCTGCGCAATATAATAGCCTATGATTTCCGAAAATAGTACTATGTTGTCAACTAGTGATATCATCACAAGAACGGTTGAGGAATATGCAAGATAATTTAGACAATTCTTTTTATTATATGTTATAATAATAAGTTATAACTGTCAGACACTATCATTTCAGCCGCTCTGTGCATGTCCTCGCACAGAGCGAGGCTGAACATAGGAGCTCAGCTTCGCGGCTGAGACACGAATAGACTATTATTAACTTAAAGCTTTTAATTTTAATAAACACAAAAGGCACGTCCACTTTAATAAAAAAAGAATATTTATTAAACAAACCAGATCAAGAGCAGAAACGAAATAAAGTGCATAACTCATATGCCAATTCTGATATGTTCATAGCCTAACGTTACTCAAAACAGACAGGGAAACCTAACGCAGACAAGTTAGCTTACCGCTTTTAGATGATATGTCATTTTTGTCGTCGAGCTGTAGAAGGCAAAACTGTTGCTTGCAAACTTTGCATTCAACCTTTTTCCCGTTAGCAATTTTAACAAAATGCTGCCACACTGTTGATGTCTTTGTTGACTATTAAACGCGCTCACAATTAAATAAATAATATTCAGCGTCAAACCTTCTATAGCCTACTTATCTGTCTCTCTTCTCCAGTGGGTTGGGCTAATCCAAAAAAGTGAAAACAAAGGGGGTGTTCTGAAGACAGACTGTTACCTATGAAACAGGGGTACTCTGAAAACACCCCCATTAGCAGTTATTGCTTTCCACCTGATGAAATCAGCGCGTCAAAACTGATGAAATGAACGCAGCAAAAAATCGACCAATCAGAATTTTGGTCGAACCAGAACGTATCGACCAATTAATCGACTGGGACAGAACAGCCCTAGTACTGACGTCTTTCCGCGGTTAAAACAACATTCCTTCTTATGTTCATTCATGTTTATTTGATGCTGTAAATTAACTAGAAGGAAGAGATGATCGGTTCACGAGCAGCTTTAACTGAGGCTCTACAGCGATCTGTCAGACACATTAAAGAGCCACAAAATGATATTTATTGTTTAAATTTCTTTTAAAAAATGACCAAATTTGAAAGTTGAGACTTTGTTTCATATCAAAAGTAACCTGGTCTGTCAGCGCGTTGTCAGTGTCCTCTCTGCTCCGCGATGTATTTTTCACTGCGTGAGAACATGGTGGGGCGTGAGAGCGGCGTAGCTTGTCAGACATAGCAACAGTAACTAAAGGGGGCGGGTCTTTGCGAACGGTCAATTGTACAGTATGTAATACATGTCAAAATAATTTTGCTCTGTATAATGGGAATAATTTATTTCTCACCCTTCTTTCGAAATACAGAATGGAGGAATCGGTCTGCTTGGCACTGGAGTTTTTCAGAGGTGGACAGGCCCTGAGGTGGGGGGGTTTCAGCAGTGGGTGGCGACCCGGGCACGGCCACAGCAGGATGGTCCTATGTAAAAAAAAAAGTGAAAAAAAAAGACTAGTTACTGACACATACATCCCAAAGTGTTGATTATAGTCTCACAGGCTTGAGTTGTGATCCATTAGAATGAATTACACTGTATATGCTTCAACTTGTTTAACCATATATTATAAAGATTAATACTGCATTAACAAAAACCTCAAACAACAACTGCTAAACACAGAGAACTATTCATTCTATACAAATGTCAAAACAAGCCTTTTCTTGCCAGCTAACACCCCATAATAAACATCTTTTTGTGGCTTTTGAGGGTTGACTTACATTCAGTTTCTCTAGCTGCAGCTTGCAAAAGGAGCAGTTTGCATCCATGGACCAATCATCCACAGCCTCTGGTTCACACTCTGAGGGAGAATCGGATGAATAACTGTCAGTAGCTGTTTCCGTCCACCAATTTGTGTGTGTATTTTGGGATATTGCATAAAAAAATAAAAACACCGGATGGAAAATTCTAAAAATGCACATAAAAAAAAACGTATGCACTCAATTGAGGCAGATACATATTTGATCTGATAAGACGACGTACACAAACATACACATTTTTCACACTATGAAAATCGAGAACTTCTAATATGTAAGCAAATTTAAAAGCACTTGTTAAGTGATGGTCCTATTCCCTTTATTCACTGTAAAGACAAGCTTCAGAGGTTTAAAATGACACCTATTTTGTGGTGGTTAAAGGGATAGTTCACCCAAAAATGAAAATTCTTTCAGTAATTACTCACCCTCATGTCGTTCCAAACCCGTAAGACCTTCGTTCATCTTCGGAACACAAATTAAGATATTTTTGATGAAATCCGATGGCTAGGGGGGGCTCCATTGACAGCTATTTAATTAACACTTTGAAGGCCCAGAAAGGTATGAAAGACATCGTTAAATTGTCCATGTGACTACAGTGGTTCAACCTCAATTTTATGAAGCGACAAGAATGCTTTTGTGGGCCAAAAAAAAAAAAAAAACGACTTTATTCAACAATTTCTTCTCTTCCGTATCAGTCTCCGGCGCACGTTCACGAAATCACCCCAACGTATGCGTGTGGTGATGACGCAGGAGCTGGCGTTCTGACATATGACCAGGATTGCTGTGTTTACAAGCAGAGGAAGACGCACGCTCAATATAAAACAGTTTATAACTATGTCTGCAGATTTCGACAGAGGATGAATTGCATTTTTTTGCACAACCTTACGTATTCAAAACAACCAGAATATACAGAGAACGGACTAAAAGAGATAGAAGAGGCTGCAACAAAACAGCCGCTTCTGAAAGACAGAGCAATGGAGAGCAGGTGGTGTAGATGTCATCAGTGCCAAGCGATGTCTACTGAACAGGAGTGTGTGCTGCATCGATCGTGATATCATGCCACATCTTGAAAGTTTGGATAATTCAGACGATAAGACAACACATGTATGCGTCATCACCACACGAATTGGTGGTGCTGTCGTGAACGCGTGTCGGAGATTGATACGGAAGAGAAGAAATTGTTGAATAAAGTCGTTATTTTGTTTTTTTGGCGCACAAAAAGCACTCTCGTCGCTTCATAAAATTAAGATTGAACCACTGTAGTCACATGGACAATTTAACGATGTCTTTCCTACCTTTCTGAGCCTTCAAAGTGTTAATTAAATAGCTGTCAATGGAGCCCCCCCCTGAGCCATCGGGTTTCATCAAAAATATCTTAATTTGCGTACGGGTTTGGAACGACATGAGGGTGAGTAATTAATGACAGAATTTTCATTTTTGGATGACCTATCTCTTTAAGCAAGTGGTTAAGTAACATAACCTGGTAGCACCCCCTCCTCCTCCCCCCACCACCTCGGATTTAAGAGGTTATGGATAATGATTAATTTATCGTTACATTTAAACAATGATTGATTATGGGAATTTATGTAAATTGACATCCCTAGTTTATTGCATTTATTCTGCGCACTCTGAGGCACAAGTCATTTATGATGGAGGAAAAAAAGAGCCAAATTTTCTTCCCTGATTACAACTACTATTTTTATCACAAATATTTTGCGCCAATTTCCCAGGAAGTGATGATTTTGTTCTCTTGAACACATGGGATGGAAATGGTGCTTAATTCACAAATGTTTTATGTGGTATTCTAATTTTGAGCATAAGTTGAATTCGCAACTTTGGATGGAAACATAGCTAGTGTCAATCAGGTATAAAGCTCAACACTGAGATTATGAGAGAAAGGAAGATTTTTCTAAGAGGGAGCACAGATCATTAGGCAGTCGTGGCCTAATGGTTATAGAGTCAGACTGGTAACCCAAAGGTTGCGGGTTCGATTCAATACCAGCAGGAATGACTGAGGTGCCCTTGAGCAAGGCACATAATCCCCAATCACTCCCCAGGGGCATCAAAGATGGCTCCCCACTGCTCCGGGTGTTTGTGTGTCCACGGTTTGCATTGTGTGTGTGATTGTTCACTGCTACTTACTTGAATGGGTTAAATGCAAAGGACAAATATGGGTTATTACCATACTTGGCCTTCACGTCATGTCACTTTCACTAGATAAATATTATCTAACAAACACCAAACTCACCATCAAATATATTGAGGTCTTGCAGCAGCCTTGGTCCATATATTCCCTCCAGAATACTTTCAAACCCTGCAAACAAACACAATACCATCTTATCTGTATGAAATCCCAGAGTAAAAAGTGCTCTAGAAAAACACATTATCATAAACCTACACAGATGTCACAACCTGTCTGCCAGCAAGTCCTGTCTAATGTCTTTTTTTTCAGAAGGCCTATGCTTTTTCACATCTTCAAATGTAAAGTTGTTTTTTTATTTATAACATTGGCTAATATATGAATTGATTTTACATGCAATATATTATTATATTAAACGCCCTAACAGCAAAAGCCAAATACCAACTGCACACTAAATCACTAACTGCAAGACACAAGTACATGCCTATATAATACAAAATGTCTGGTGTTTCTAATGCTATGATTAAGGGTAGAATTTTATTTGTAGTTTATTTATATAAAGTTGGAAATCACTCATATTTGCAGATCTGTTGCACATCCTGTTAGTCATTGTCTGTACCACTGATGCCCTTCACTGCAGCTACATTTACATTAAGACAACAAAAGCTCACCCAAGAATGTCACATTCTGCAAAAACTTTGATGTTGCGTAACTTAAAAATAAAATAAAAAAGCATTAGATCCACAATTGAAGACCCTACTATGTTTCATAAACTATTAACAACTTTCAATTAACCTATCATTAAAAATAGCTCATTTGAAACCCCATCAAATGTCTGTATTTTGCCTTAAAGGCCTTAAAGCTGCAGTCCGTAGCTTTTTTTGAGTTAAAAATTATCCTAAATACATATTTTATCAAATACATAACCAGCCAGTGTTCAAAACTATCTGCTTGCCTTAGCTCGATGCATAGCGGTAAGCTTGTAATAATGTTTTTAATTCCAATGGTACTGGTGGATTTCCGCGGGAGATTCGAGCATTTCTTTGCGTCATTACGTCACATCTGTACACATTAAGAAGGAGTCTCGGCTAGTATAAGCTATATTGCGTGTGAGGATGTTGGAGGTGGAGATTTATAGCCTTTTCTCACAGCACTTGATATAATTAAACTTATCAATTTGATGGCGGATCCAGAAAGGTTCAAACGACGATCATCAGTGACGACAGATTCACCCGTTGTAAAATGCAAAAGACTTCGTTCGGACTTCGGAGTGGCTACAGAAAATAAGAGACTGCAACCGGACCCATGCGAAAACAAGGATAATATCGGAAGGACATTACATGTAGACACGTAATGCTTGCTGACGTTGTTAACATTAACAATTTGAGAACATAGTATAGCTACTTTGCACGGTATTGCGTGATATTATAACTTATAAGCGATTGTTAGATATAATCAGCGCGATTTACTGCAATGTCAGAACCAGAACAAAGGTGGATGTTTCTTACTAGTTCAGATGACATTTTCCGGTGAAAATTCTTATGTTGGTCATACTTCCAAAAAGAATAATCTGTGATTCTGAATGCCAGTATCCACACCGGCGCGGCGACCGACAGCTGCACAGTCTCCTCAAACACTGTGTTCATCCGCGCTGTGCCGTGTCGAGGGTGTTGAAGTACAACTCACGTAAAGTTGATAATTCCGCGAATGACTGCAATTGACCGTTCGCAAAAGCCACGCCCCCTAGTTATTGTTGCTACGCCCATCAAACAAATGGTCAAACACGACCAGTGCGATAGATTGCCATGACGGGAAGCGGTATACCGGTGCGTGTCAGTGACCTTTTTTGGAGCAATACCTCAGCGATATCCTCCAGATCGAGGCACAAGGGGTTACAGTATGCAGTGGAGGGATATATTCAAAACATAAAAATACGCAATGAAGGAGACACACGACTACTATCGAGGCTAATTATACCGGTCTCAAGCGAAATCTGAGAAACCCCATGACCTGTACCTCAAATGCAACCAGCACAGCCTTGAAGAAGATTTTATAAGCTGGTTCAGTGGCTAATTGTTTGGAGTTAGAAATATATAAACTTGCGCTGCATATTTAGTAATTTTGCCTCAGATAAGCCCCTTTCACACAGCGCTTTGAACCCGGCAAATTGCCGTGTTCAGACCCGGAACGCGCGCTGTGTGAACAAAAGCCAGAACCAATGCCGTATAAGGGGTGTGTCGTAGTGATGATTCACGACACGAGCCTTTGCAATGCCGTAGTTATCGTGCGACTCAGTTACTCTAGAAGAAAGTTTGTGTTCGTCATCGATACAAGAAAGAACGAAAAAATGTCTGCAAACTGGACTGAAGTAGAGACCCGTCACATCCAACGTCACGCGTCTTTCCGGAACATACACGGGTTGTGTGTGAACGCGCTCTCTGATTCCGGCAAATCACTGGCAGTGTGAATGAAGCAAAATCAAACGAAACCGGGTCAAATCCCGGGTCACTTTATCCGTGTATTTTCCGGAATCTCTGTGTGAAAGGGGCTATACAGGATTATTCGCTTTAACAAGCAGGTTGTTCGTTACCACGGCAACCGCTTGCGTCATGCTGAATGCGATTTTCGTGTTTAAAAAGTAACTATAAGAGACGGAAAGATGCAGATAACCATAACGTTATATTATTTAAGGTTATTTCTATTCGTTACGATATTGATATATGAACTGATGTTGTCAAGTAAGCTTCATGCTTTCCCCATTGCGAACGTGCACTCCTCTAAACTGTAACATTAGTCTACGGGTGCTTCACTGCTGCTCATTTTCCCCTGAGAATATCATGTTAACAACAACCCTTTAGAAAACGTAATTCCTTTGTGGATCCTCTTGATCTGGTTTCTCCATGTTTGACTAATCTCAGTGTCTCCGTCTCACGCACGCTGCACGCGAGTTAATCATGTTCAACACATTTAACTGGGAGTGGGGCCGTCCACACTGTTTTATCCATTGTAGGCACCGCTCACGTTGTGTTTTCGGCTTTAGAAACGGAAAGAACACAACTCCTCCAGACAATCTCTCAGGGTACCTAGTGTCCGATTTACAAACGCCGTGGGCGCACCGCTTCACCATCTTGCTTGGAGTCAATGTTTGACGGACCTGCTCACATAGTAACAGTTGCTATGATGTGTGATTGGACAATGGCAGTTTTGTGGGAGGGGCCTGCGAATGGTCAATTGCAGATTTCGAACAGAGATGGCGACAAAGAGGAAAAACGCCGGACTGCAGCTTTAACATTCTCGACTGTATATTACAACCATTTAAAATCTTACAACTTACAATCTGTTAAACTGGCATTCTATCGATCAATTCTACTCTACTCCGGTAAAAACTTCTTTATTTTAAATTCGATTATTTTAATTAGCACAAAGTTAATATATAGTTGTCCACATTTTGCTTGCAACCCTGTTACAACACGATTAGAGTAAGTTAGCCTATAATCTAGAAAAACGACTGCAAATGTATTTGATGGCAAATTTTTATTGCAGATTACTATTATTATTAAGGGTTTCAAAACCTATTTCATACAATGTGTATTTTCTTATTTGTGGAAAGTTACCGTTTACAGTATTAAATGCATGGCAATAGTTTCACATAATCGGAGGTTAAAGTGATCAGTTTATGCAGCAAACAGTCATGTGAACGTGTGGATTTGCGCTGACCACCGTAAACTCGGCCAAACATTTGTCAACACCTGTTTTCCCAATTTTTAAAAGAGCAAATTGGGTAACGTTATCTATTCACCTACCAACTTTCAAAGCATCAAAAATGCACAGCGATCGTTCAATATTTCATAAAAGACAAACATTCTCTGATGGTTTTTAAAACTGCACTACTTTTAGACATATTTGTCAACAATGAAGGGGCAATGGGGAAATTACCATATAATTCACGAGAGAGAGATTCAAAACAAAAGCCGGACCGTATTGATTCTCTATTACAATTACACCGTCATTTGTACATCGGTATTCGGTGGAGAAAAGGGTCAGTGAGTGCAAAGCTAACTCGGTTATTATCGAGGAATCAAGAAGTAGGGACAAAGAAAATGGAGCCGGTGTTGGCCGTTTTTTCTGTTAGCTACAAAAGCTACCTAGGGCTCGCGCGGACAACGACTCTACGCTAATGATATTTTTGAACTTGACACACGCTCGCTTAGCAACTCCATGAGCTAACAGTAAGCTGGGGGAGGGAGCTCCGCGAGACCCTGGCAAAAAAGAAACCGAGCGCGAGACTGCGCGAATGGTTGCCCGAGAGTGATATGTCCGCTTATGGAACCACACAAATATGGCTTTTCCGAGTACGAGGTGTTCTGATCTTACCGACACAGTGGATGAGTTTGTGTCGCCACGAGTCGAGTTCCCGCCGGAATCCTTTTCTTTCGACCGTGCATTTGGAGCTCCGGCACTGGGTCGCCATTCTGTCCGTCCACCTTCCCCCCGGCTCTGAGTGTGACGTCACCGTACGTCATCCATATCACGCTGTCGATTGATTGACACGTGTCAAAACAGGCTAGGGGCGGGGCTTAGCGATGTAAACAACCTTCCCCCCGGCCCAGTATGTGCATTTATTCAGTAAAATTGCTAGATAAATACCCAGTGTTTAATTACTACTTTCTCTTTTATTAGTACAAAAAAGCTTTAAAGCTAAGATGACATGTCTGCACCTGTCATCTAAATAACTCGTGTAACATTACCTGTAACTACCCAGCAAGCAATCTTCATTTCACTCTCTAGGCTAACGATAGACCCGATATAGTCCGGCTATGAGTAACCTCTAGCCAAAATAACCTTGAACTTGGTTAGGCGTCATTTTTGCCTAAATAACTTGCGAGATATTCCATTATGTAAGCAAAGTCAACTGTGATTAGTGTTCGGTTTCATTTCCTTGACATGTTCTATGCGTAGCCTGTGCGCCTATCTTGGGCTGTGGTTAGACGACTATTACATTTTCAATGACAGTCCAAATTTTGCCTTGTTTTAGCTTAGATGTCAGGGCTGTGATTTGGGCGGCTATTTGACGTCTTTTAAACGCAAAATTGCTTGCTGGGAATCGTCAGTCACACAATTGTTTATATCTTTACAATGGGTTCATAAACTATCAGCTCTTATGTAACAGATTGTAGCCTATACTCTTTAATCATCAACCAGAAGCTGATTGTGATAATTCACTTGGAGTCCCATAATAGTCCCACAAAAGCAGCTTTACCAGTCAGGATAATCAACCAGATATCACATTATGTCAACTAAATTCTAAAAGGTAAAAATTACACTGCATTATTTTCCTCACTTAATTGTTCTCTAGCATTTAACTACAGCGAATCAGGAATATTTTCTTTTGTCTTACATTTCCATAATTTAACATCAAACACAATGTGGGCCCCTCCCCCATGTCACTAAAGTGACACACACACACACACACACACATTCACTAACGAGTGAAGTCCAACTGTCCTCACACACACACATTCACTAACAAGTCCAACTGTCCAGAAAGAGGAAGGCACTCGGAGAGAGCAGATGGAGTTAATGCCCAGCTGAGCATCTGTGTCAGGCGCGCACACGCACGCACACACACACGCATTTTTAACGAAAAACATGGTCATAATGATTTTTATTCTGCACAAACTGTTATTCCCTAACCCTAAACCTACCCCTAATCCACCCATCACAGAAAACTTTCTGCATTTTTATATAAAAAAAAAAAAAAAAAAAAAAACCCAGTATGATTTATAAGCTGACCAAAAAATGTCCCCACAATGACAATGATTTCAATATCAGGACCACACACACACACACACACACACACACACACACACACACACACACACACACACACACACACACACACACACACACACACACACACACACACACACGTGTCTGTCTAATTCTGATGCACATGCACTGATTTTATATTCTTGTTCTCCATTTAGGATCAATACATCAGGTTATATATTAAAGCATTGATCGGTGTATTCATTTTGATTTAGTGCAATCTGAGGTCATTTTGAACTAATTTTTTTAACCTCTTTGATATCTGTAATACAGCCTTCACATTGCATGTGTTCAATCCCACTTGATGCCATCAGCTAGAATTTCAAATCTCAACAAGAAACTATGATAGACAAACAAATGGAAAAAAGGAAATCTCAGACTTACGAATAAAAAATCTCTCTCCATTGTCTTTGTTTACTCTCGGTAACATTAACCATTAAACTCCTCGGTTCTCTAAGGATTTTAATAAACTCTGTCTGAGAACAACAAATAATCAAATGTGTTTGAATGTAGTGGAGGAGGTGTGATAATTTTTTTATTATTCTGTATTGGAAAGACATTAAAGTATATTCCAAGAACTAATAATTTTGAGCTTTGCCATTTGAGAATAACAACTTTGTTAGAATGACTACTTGTATGTATTCAGGTCTGTTTTAAATTACAGAAAGCCATTTTATTTAACAGTAAAACAAATAGTACATAATTGAAAAAGAAACTGATTTATTGCACACACTTATTTTGTTAATGAGAACATTTAAACATGTGCCCCTGCATTGTGTAAATCCATTCGTATTTGAAGTCTCGTCTGACAACAACTGTGCTTGCTTTGAAGAAGTCAGACAAAGTCATCTGATTCATCTCAGTCTTGTTAAACACACTGCTGACTCTCTGCAACAACCTTTTCTCTAATTGCTCATATGAGTCCCTGAGGCAAAGAGCTCTTTAGGGTGGTGGCAACCATGCCCCTCATCCATAGCAACCATGGCTAAAGGTCTATGTGTGTGCATGTGAGGGGGAGGTAAGGACAGCTTCATTGTTCCACTGACAGGCACATTCATTATCATAAAGGATTTTGTATGTAACCTTCACTTGTTGAATAGTCCAAAAATAAGATTGCAACAACCATACAGTCCAATATGCAATATACAGCCCAACCTGATCTCATGAGAAAACGTAACTATTTTACATAGTGGCGATTTAATAAGAATTTGAACAGAAATGTACGTTTTTTTAGAAAAAACCCAAGCATGAAGGTCCACCCCTAGGCCCACCCCTGAACCTATAACCATCAGTGGGGCGTAAGCAGATTGTACAAAGTGTACGAATGAGCTCAGAACTCAATCCTCCCTGTCTTTCAACTTGTTTCATTCTGCTCTATACTGTCCTTTAAATAGAAAGGCAAAAAGCCCTGAAATTACATTACGAAAAAATAATAATAACCAGTTACGGCATAATGAGGATTTTGATGTTAAATTTGTTCTTTCTATGGACGTGATGGATTTGGAGACCAGTTTAGTGCATCGTTGATATAGAACAACTAGGAGTCATTGAGGATGGTATAAGCTTAGACATGCGGCCATCAAGACAGCAGAAGTTAAACTGGTGATGGTTCCTGATTCCTGTCATAAGCTGGCTTGAGGGTTGAAGAAGCCAGTTGTACAGTGATGTTGAGGTTGACTGATGTGTTTGCTGGGATAACAAGATGATCTCTCTCCTGAATGTGGTGTTTTTGCACCCAGGTCGAGATACCAGGCTGGAAAAAAGCCACGCACCTTCATGACTTTGCACAATGAGGTCTAGATATAAGAAAACTTTGAAGGCATCAGTCTCCATAAGAAGAGAGAAAAGGAGGATAGTTGACCGTTTCTGAGTCTCCACCTTTTCAGTGAAAAAGTGGCAAGGTCATCAGCAGTGAGAGAGGTGGTGAGAGGAGGTGGAGGAGGAGAGAGAAGAATGTTGTGAATAGTGTTGCTGATCTTGTTGCAATAGAAAGTGACCTTGGCAGCAAAAGAGGAGAGGAAAGATTGATACCTGCACAGCTCTTTTGACTTCTTCTCAGTAGCTGGTCAGTGGTGGTGGTCATGAAGATTATCAGCCTATAGAATTGTTCAAGTGAGGATAGGTGGGTAGTGGAGGGAAGGGGCTGGGGAAGGACATTCTCAGAGCGAGTAGTGCTTGTGTGAAATATGAATAACCAACTCAAATTTGGTTAATTTTGTTGAGTCAAGATAAATAAATAAAAAATGAAAAACTAAATGGATACAAAATAAAATTTTGTCCTGTGTTTTCTTAGTTTCTCTTGTATAATTTGACATTTTATTTGATTAATTGACAGAAAAGGACATCCTTCATGCTGTTTATTAGTATTTAATCATTTAATTTATGTAAAGATTTTTGTATGTTATGTTGTCATTTAATCGGAAACACAGGTTCATTGACTTGACCTTGAACAGGGCAGAGAAGGGGAGGTTGTATCCCTTTATAATTTATATTGTATTGTACATTTTATGGATGACATGGATCTGATATGAGCTTTTTCATTGTGTGTCAGACAGTGTGTGCATGCATGTGCATATTCCTCTGTTTAATTAAGTAAACGTGACTGTCTTTAATAATAAAAAAAAATATATATACATTTAAATGCTTTTCCACTATTTAAAATGTGGATCAGCAACAAACCATTAGCCCTTCCAGGAGAAGGGTACAGGTGAACAAAAAGAAATGGACATTTACACTGTGCAAGGAAGGATGAGTGTTATAACATGCAATAATTCAAAATCAAATACAGAGCAAACTGGAGGGGAGCAATGGAAGAGATATGCCATTACCTTACATGCATTCTTTTATGAATTAATTCTTTCTTTCGATCTCTACATCCACTCACTCTCTGTGACATTCATATAGAGCCCAATGGTTTGTCTGATATCTTCACAGATAAAAACAGATTCTCCCTCTGGACTGGTTCTTTTGATCTCCAGTGCCTTATGCCTTATCTCCTTGGTAACCACATCTGCAGCAATTAAAATGTCTCTTTAAAGTTGCCCTAGTGTGGTTTACAATAAACTGCCCCTATTATGCCATTTTGAAGGCTCCTAATTTTGTTTTGGAGGTCTCATATAACAGGTTTACATGCATCAAATGTAAAAAAAAAAAATCATTTTCTCATAATAGCCTATACATTGTCATGATTCTGCCATCATGTTCTTGATTTTCTTAGTCTTGTGGCAGGATCATGGCAGAACCATGTTTTGTGTACAAGCGCATGGCCTGTTTTTTGGACCATGTGCTTGTGTTGTCTCGTTATGTTACTCCGCCCCCTTGTTACCCTCGTCTTGTCATTATTGTCTAGTCAGTTTCACCTGTTCTTGTCATTAGTGTCTCCCTATTTAATCCCCTTGTGTTTGCTGTCCTGTGTCGGTACATTGTCAACTAATATGTGTAACTCTTTGTGAGTACTTTGTCTGAATCTCGTGAAAAGTATTGTAAGTTTGTGTAGCTGTTTGTTTCTTTTGTTCTAGTCTTCAGTCAGTATCTAGTCTTTATTTATTATCTAGTCTTTGTCTTGCTTGTTGCCTCTAGTCTTGTTTTGCCCCCTCGTGGGTTTTGTTTTCTCTGTTTTGTCTTTAATAAATTGTGTGTAGAGCATTCAGTCTGCTTTTGGGTTCGTTTATCTGCACCCTCATGACATTACACATCACAACATT